TGAAGCCAGTCATTCATTGTGAGATTCAGCTCATCGATCATTTCCATGACCACCAGCTGTCCTTTTGGGAAGGGAATCCGTACGTCGCATGCAGCAAACCGACTTGTCGCTTGTGTAGGCTGTACATGGAGCACCACCCCATCCCATTCGTAGAGACCGATTCTCACAACAAGATTCCCCTCAACTGGAGTCCGGCCTTCCTTCCGTGCGGCGTCAATGATTCTAGGTTCATATGCCAGCGAAACACCCTGAATGCCGTTATCAAAGCCATTCGTGGTCCGATCTTAATGCAGATAGGCAGAGGGAGCTGCTCTAGCACATTTCATGCCGATTCTCTAGATCAGATCACACAACCCGAATACGACCCTTTTGACCACCTGGACTCGGACAGCACCTCTCTGACGGAAGTCGAGGACGATGGTACGTTACGAGAGAAAAGCACTAACGTAGAAAAGATCTGTCTCGTTAACGTGATCTGGACCAGCTTTGGATTTGAAACTTGACGAAGACGTATATTCAGCGCTGGAACGCCATTCGAGAATCCAAGAAGCTTTTCCTCTGGCTTATCATGATGTGTCCGATTCCGATTCAGATGGGGGCGCAAGATTGTAGAATATACCTAACCTACCAACTTGACGCTTTGGAGCGTGGCCAACTGGACTTGGAAATCTCGGTCTATATGAGCGTTTCGAGCTGCTCAATTACTCAAGTTGATACTACATATATTTTGCATGATCTTGTAGGAAACTGCAGAGCAAAACATGAAAATAATTAATAGTAGACTGCTGTAAAACTATCCGTTATCAACCAAAGTGCTTAGTTCTCATATGATCCAAGAGGTTGTAACGCCTCGTGAAAGATATTTTAGGATCAACACAGATAGAACACCAGATTAGCTTCCGCGATTCCGAATGCAAATGCGTCTCCAGGTGTTTCTCCATATCGGCTCTCTCTGCAGTCCTGACAACGAAACATATATTGCACCGAAACGGCCGAATATGGGTTTTGAGGTGCTTCCTTGAGATAGAAACACGGTCAGTGACAGTCTCAACGAGATACCACCGCGGCCAACTTTCAACTCACCTTGCCTTGGAACCTGAGGATACGGAATGACTGCAAGGAAGACCAGCCCGGGTGAAATGACCGGCGCAATAGATGCGCCCATCATCATGCATGATTACATGATCTTCTAACGGGGGCATACCAGAATCGGTGTACCGATCAAGCAAGTTCGTAGACTCAGCCTGTACAGGAGGAAAAGTGTCATCTAAGGTGCATGACGAAAGTGTAAGTTCAAACGATTGTGTGTTGGCATAACCACACCTGGCTATGGTCAAATTTGAATGATGCCCTGTCGTTATGTTCATAGTAGCCTCATTGACTCTCTGGAGGGGATTTCTCTAGAGAGTAGGAGAGTCGTTGAAGCGACGAACTGAGACAGGGCTGTATCCTGTGTTGACCATGGAAGTGGTGGCATCTTGCTGGCTTTCGGGAAGAGGAGAGTAAGTCATCATCGGATGGAACGGCGGCATGCTCTCAAAGAGGAGCCCTTTGTCTTCTGACAAAAGGTCTACTCCTTGCAGGTCGCCCATCGAGCCAATCCCTGATGCCATTTCACCGGCATCCTGTTGGTCAAGGCCAGATGTGAGCTGCTCGTATCCAGTTCCTTCAGGCAAAGGCACTGGAATTTGTGCCTCGGGTCCATCGATATTGGTCAAAGGAGTGTTCGAAGAGTACGCATCTTGAAAGAAAGCATCCTGAAAAAAAGTGTCTTGAGAATCATTGTGGGAGGCTGGTAGGTAGGTGTGAGTCTGCTGCGTCTTCACAGGAGCGTCGTAGGGTTAACATACATTCGCCCTCAGAGAAGATATCTATCTCCATGCCTGCCAGGGCTTTTGTAGCGCGGTCTCTTTAGGCTCTTTGCTTTTATGTCGAGACGTAAGTGATGTTTGTGGACGGATTATGGCGGACGCCAAAAGTAGGAAGGACGCCGCTGTCACCGGCCCCTTATTTATTGTCCGCATGCGGGAAAACTTGTTGATGCTGTATATGGCCTCCTCAGCCCAACACCTAGTATTACATAAGTATTAGGCGTCAATCATGTGGCCTTCAGAAATCAAGCGGCAGGGTCGGCAAGACGTTTGGGCCAATGTTGATAGAGGTGGACACAGCCTTCTGTGGGATGCGTCGCTGGAAGCTTACAATGAAGACACTAAGTATGCGGGAGTCCTACCGGGCTTATGCAAGCGCATCTCACCGACCAGTGATAGGCATCGATCATGCACGACATAGGTTTCACCTCATCAGTACCTCGTCTTCACATCTCATAGCTCCGTCATGCCCTAGGTCATCGGCAAGGAGGTGGGTGCCCAAAAAGGCCACAATCCTAAAACATGAGCTCATTTCGAATCGCTATGCTGTACTTTACATTGGCTTAAAACTATTGAAAGTAGATGATTGGCACGTCCAGAAGCATCTTCTGGTCATGGCTTGACATAGCATGCATCTCCTCGGCAGACGTGGCACTGTAGAGTGGGCACTTAGATTGGATTGGTGACGCCAAATCGCACTCAGTGTTAAGCACAGCTGTCGATGGATAGTCGTCCATCATGGGCAACGCCGGTACGGGACGCGCCGAGATCAGGTTGTGACCGCACTCAGAAATGCCCCGGCCACGCCCAGAGACGTGCATCATCAGGTTAGGTTCCACGGCAGGCGACTTCAGCCAAACTGCAATGAGTGCTTCAACTACGGTAGAACAATCATTGGTAGACATAAATCAGCAGTCATCTCAATCAACGACGATGGCCCGCCATCCTTTTCACGTTGGCCACCTCCACTTTGGCTTCTTGCATCAGACAAATCCTATTCAGATGTGAATGATTTGGAGTAGTAATCGCAGCCAGATACATACCATCTGATCACAACTTGTCCTCCATGGATCTGTCTCCGGATAGAGGGATTGACGAAGTTATAGGACAGTGAAAGGTGAATTTGGTGACGTAAACTTTTGGCTAGAAAGCACGCAAGCCAGTAGTAGCGTTTTATCCGACTCTGCATCCAACCTGTTTTCCTAACCCCGCATGTCCACGTGACTCAGTTTCTTCGTGAAAGGGTGGAAGAAGACGATTTTATATCATCCGCTCTAATTTTCAAAGTACTCTAGACGGAGAGTCAATTCATAACACTTGAAGTCCGAAGATTTCAACTCACGTCAATAAACAACAAACGCTGCACCGTACCTTCGAGGACTTGACAACATGGCCGCGAAGCATGGGAACAAAGAATATTACGCAGTCTTAAAAGGGCGCATAAGCGAACCTACTATCTTTTCGTCATGGTAATTACTCCCTCGATAAAGATCTATGTATAGCAGAAGCTTAGTTTAGTATCGATAGGGGAGATGTACATCCACGAGTCACTGGATGTGAAGCCGAGTACAAAGCCTTCTTCACGATTGAAGAGGCACAGAATTACATGGAGAAACAAAAGATCCTGAAACCTAAAAAGGTTATCAAGGAGGGAGCGGGTGGCACTACGCCAGAACGTAATAGCGAGGCCTTCTATGCTGTTGCGCACGGTCGACGACCTGGCATATATCCGTATTGGAAGTACGAGTCTCCCTCATTGATGAGTTGCCGACTGATGTAACTGACAAAATACAGTGGGGAGGAAGGCTCAAAGCTGAATGTCGAATACATTTCTGGTGGTTGTCACAAACACTTCAGAACAAAAGCCCAAGCACAGGCATTTATCGAGGATTGGAAACAGTCTTTCGCTGATGTGTATCAGACGGCGATGAAGGAAGAATTGGATCAAGGCTACCGACCATACAATCTGGAGCTCAGTGTTGCGGGCATTTTGCAGGGGACCGAGATTGAGGCTCAAAGTACACGCGTTGTGGATGTGTTAAAGCTAGAGGAGCTGAACTTAGAGGACAAGTAGAGGCGGATGACAAGAATACAGTGCAGGCACAACAAGATAAGGATGCCAAGCATCAGATCTCATAATGAGATCGCCAGGGACGGAGATCTTATATCGGAGATCATATTTACTCCAGGATCACCACGATCAATGATCAAAAGAGGATGAATCCCAAAACGGTGATCCAGCATGGGCTCAAAAGCTCTCGGCGGAGACAAGGATCGTTCCTACCGTTCGCGGGGGGGGGGTGGCGTGGCGTCGCGCGAGACGACGTAAGTCGGCGTCTAGACACATAGGACGAAGACAAACAGGGCCTCACCTACATTGATCTGCGTACGGAGGACGTGCGAAGGCGTTTCGCGTCGGAGATGGCGCCCCCGGCGTCTCCTATACGACGGACTCTTTTACGGGGCTACCTGGTTTATTCTGGCTCTAGGAGTCTACGCTGAAAGACGACCTTAGTGAGACCAACTTCGGCTAGTATTTCGGGTAGTATTGTAATCATGGGGACGCACTCGAGCCGCTAGTACGGGCAACAAAATAACCAAAATCAAAAATAGGATTTAAATAAACAAAGTTTTATTTTTCTTATCATTAAATCAAATCCCTTCGCAGACACCTACGAGGGCCGCACCACCGGGAAATAGAGGGCCGCCGCCGTTTTACGCTCATGTGTCTTAAGGATGAGGTTAGAAATTCTTTTGGCAGGATTCGAGGTGGGTCTTCAAGCCAGAGCCTCATTGCTTGCGGCTCATCCATCATCAGGAGCCGCCGCGATACATAGCTCGGCACTCCATTCTTGCCCAAGAGATACGGCGGTCGACATCCTGTCCCGTCTTCATGGCCATGGGTCTAAGCGGCCCTCAACCTAGCCCATCAGCAAGTTGCCGCCGAGCTGCCGTCCAACGCATCAAGCTCGACATCGTCTTTCCCCCGCCGGCAGCGTCTTTTTAGAGACAAAAGTTGGCCTGCCAGTCCTTGTCCCCATCCAGAACCCGAATCTTGCCTACCACTACGGCTGAAATATCGAGTGGCACGCTTCGCACAAGACGTCCGAGACGCCGCGCTTTTGGAACATGGGCCACTTTGGCGCCGCGGTCAAGAATGACACAACGTTTGACGGCAACATGACCTCTCTCGGCGATGAAATCAGCAAGCTCGCGGCGGGCGTTTATCGCCTCTCCTACGACGTTCGAATGGGCATCTGGCGTGCCTTTCGTCCCGGCGAGGTGGAGCACAGCGCGCCGACCCGCGCCTCAACAAGGGTAACTTTACTTTCACCAGGCCTCCGACGCGCTGACGCCGACCTATCCTGGCACCTGTCCCTCGGCCATTAGATCTGTCCGCTTCTCGGAACTGACGACGTTTCACGGTCTGACGCCGTCGTTGGACCTGCAGCCCGAGACGACGAGGTCCTGTGCTGTAACCGCGAGCATTACGCACGAGATCCAAGCGTGCGCCGCGACGGTGGGCGAGGTGCAGGAGATCAGTCTTTCGAGCAGGATGTAGTGGGGGAGCGGCTCCCTCGCAGATCAGTGCCGCAGCGTCGGCTGGGCCGTTCATGGGCGTTGGTGCGATGGGCTTCGTGGGCGTACTGGCAGGTTTGGCCTGAGGGTTGGACAAGTTGCCTCGATCAATGTTGACTGAAGGAACGGATATGCCTGGATCGATACCAAGATTCGAAGCCATCAATATATTGTGAGCAGAAATTAGCTTGGCCTATCCAATGTCTAGTGTTTTGTACTATGGAATAATGACACTTCGGCCTCCTCACAGCTTGTCTACCATCGACAAATCCTTCTCCAAGCCAGGCTCTCGTTTTCTAGCGAAACGTTGATCCTGGCAGTTATTCTCCGACACTCGAGTCAACAAGGTGGATGAGGACGAAAATTCTCCGCGTGAGAGCTGCCGTGCCAAGGCGCTTGTCAAAACCAGAACAAGGCTTCCATCCCCACAGAATCACAGACAGAGAGTTGCTGGCGGGAGAGGTGAAGCGGCAAACAAACTGTTTGATATCCTCTCCAGACGATATCCAGCTATTAGTTTCCGTACCTCGTGGTGGGCTTAGGGCTCATGAGTCGCAAAGAACCCGCAATGGCTTTGATAATGGCGGAATGCGTACTCTCAGGGTCAACCCCGCGATCTTGGTCGGTGAGAAGAACTGTGCTCCACCGTCATCCTCAGGTCCTATATCTCGATATCACAACGGAGGACCAGATTGGCCGTCACTGTGGATCGAGAAACGGATACAACGGGACGTGGCGATTCATTCTGCAGCGCGTTCTGTTACGCGTCTAGCAATGCAATGGTTTTCCTTACCTTCGGCGCCTTAACAGGCTATGCGAGGTCCACAAGGCGCTTGACTAGCGCACCGGCCCGCGGGAAAGGCTTTTCGGAGATCTTGGCCGCTACCGTACCAGCCGCCATTCCAGTGCTGACCCTACGACGGTTGATGTTATCGGCATTGTCATGAAATTCTCTTACAAGTCTCCGCGAGCTTCTCTGCGCGAACTGTCATGAGAACACGTCGTGCCTTTCGCGGTCTATTCGACGTAATTGGGATCTTTCTCCTGCGAGCCAACACCGCGTGTGTTCAATCGGGTGATGTCCGTGGGTCCTCATAACGTAAAGCGGCTCTTAGTGCGGCCCACCGCCGATGGGGCCGGATCGCCGGCAATGACTCCAACTGCAAACAACGAATGACAAGACATGGCCTCGGCGCCCTTGAAACGAGAACACCCCGGGTCCAAGACTTCGTCAATGACTTGAGAATTACCTTATGCCATGCCTCCCATCTGCCAGAACCGGATGCAAGCAACATCAACGGCACGTTTCCGTGTACTCGCGGACCCTTACCCCAAACCCCAAGATGCTTCTCAACATTCTCTCGCCCACGGGGGGATACATGGATGGATACCTACTCCATGGGGTAAAGTAAAGCCAAGAGCATGCTGGAAATCCCTCTTCCCCCTTATCCCCCAAAGAAAACGGGGCGTCAGTATCGAATGGGCGGCCAGAAGTCCGTTGGACTGATCAGAGTTTCCACATTGACGCCCCCAGCCTACAAATATTTCACAGAGAACCACCAACAGAATTTTCATCCCTCCCATCAAGGTCGCTCCCTCTCGCCAAGCGTCTTCTTTTTGACTGTCTGGCCTAATTTATACCTCCTGACGCCTTACTGCAGCTCATTTTCAAGCCTTCCCTGCACGCCATCTCTCATCTGACAGACTTGCGTGTCTGACGCTTCGAAAACGAGCTTAGCTCACGCAGGACGCGCCAAGGAGGACACCAGTCAGTCTCGTCAAGAAACTAGAGCCCGCCATGTCTGCCGCCATTGATGAGCAGTCTCTTCCCCAGGAACAGCGTCAGCTGCCGATTCAGCGGGCCGATGTACCTACCAACGGGAGCAATAAGGAGGACAACGAGGCCGCCGATGTGGCGACGGAGCTGAAACCCGTCGGCAATGATGAGCCGCCGACGAACATCTTCAACCAGGGTGGCCAGAATTACCGCACACTCGGCCGCTGGGACACCGTCTTCGTCCTCATCACCAACCAAGTTGGTCTCGGTATTCTGTCATTGCCCGGCTGCCTCAAGGTGCTCGGCGTCGTGCCTGGCGTCATCGCCATCATTGGTCTCGGCTCTATCTCTGCATACACTGCGTACATTCTCCTCCAATTTTACCGTCGTTACCCTCACGTCGTCAACATTGTCGACATGTGTCGCATCATCGGCGGCAAGCCTCTGGAAGTAGTCGCTGGACTGGGTCTCCTGGTCAAGGTCATGATGACTTGCGCTTCCGCTGCCGTCACTCTTTCTGTGTCTTTCAACACCCTGAGCGGTCACGCTTTCTGCACCACCATTTTCATCACGATTGCCGTCATCGCCTGCTGGATCCTGTGTCTACCACGAACGGTCAAGTTCGTTTCACAGAGCGGTATTCCCTCGACGATCAGCATCCTGGCCGCTGCCTTCATCGTCATCATCAGTCTCGGTATCTCTCGGCCGACTGGAGCGCCCCCGGGATGGGATAAGGAGATCGCGGTCATTGGCAATCCTACTTTCCGCCAGGGTCTCAACGCCTGCCTCAAGATCTGTTATGCATATGCGGGAAACATCTCATGGGTATGAGGTTTACATGCATTAAGACTAGCTTTTGCTAATTCGCTAACATGACTAAAGGTCGGCTACATGGCAGAGATGCGTAATCCTAGCCGCGACTTCCCTGTCGCTCTGGCCTGCCTCGAAGTCTTCTCCATCACAATCTACACAGTCATCGCCATCGCCATCTATTGTCTGGCCGGCGACTACACAACGTCGCCAGCCCTCGGCTCGGCGCCAAGCGTCGCAGCCAAGGCCGCCTACGGCGTTGTCCTTCCCGCCGTCTTCGCCACGGCCATGGCGTTCGGCCACACCGGCATCAAGTACATGTACGTCGTCGCCATGCGCGCCATGAAGTCCACGCACCAGGTTACCGACCGCAGCGTCAAGTCCTGGGGAACCTGGTTTGCCTGCGTCACGCTGTACTGGGTCATCGTCTGGGTCATCTCCAACGCCATCCCCATCTTTGACTCGATCCTCTCCATCTCATCAGCGACGACGATCGCGTGGTTCACCTTTGGGCTCAGCGCCATCTTCTGGCTACACCTGAACCGGGGACAGTATTTCAAGAACTGGAAGAAGGGCCTGCTGACTGTCTTTAACTGCCTGCTCATCCTGCAGTCGCTGTTTATGAACGCTGGCGGCCTGTGGTCCTCAATCACGCAACTCATTGATATTTTCAACAATGACAGCAGTAGCGTGCGGGGAGCGTTCTCCTGTGGCGATAATTCGCAGGTCGTCTGAGCAAATGACGATGGTAGGATGGTTCTGTTGTATATATTTTTTCGCGACCGTGATCGAAGATCAGATACGTGCTCGTAATTATCAACCATCTACATGTATGTGGATCGTTTGACTCCTTGGCGACTTGGCGATCTGGAAAACCTTGAACACCTTTGAAACGATCCAATCTCAACTCGATGATTTGAGTCACGCAACTCAGCGATATCCTTCCTTGAAATGCATTGCTTGACCCATACTCAGTTAGTATCTCAGCATTGAGGTCATGGAAACTGCTAGCGTGAAGCGTATCTATTAGAGCGGAGGGAGTGGATGCTAATCGACCGAAAAGTCGAGATGTTGGACACACCTCCGGTTCCTGAGCCACCACACCGGGATATTATGGGGCTCATGCTTCTCATGCTCATGTCCAAGCATGGCTTGATGAACAAGCAAACAACAGCTGGCAATGGCAGGGGCAGCCTTCGAAAGATCATTTGTGCCTATGGAGTTCACGGACTTGGGCACGGAATGTTTGCTCCGCTACTCGGACGTATGTCCGGCAGCCACAAGTCCAGCAGGCTGATCGACTTGAAGTACCCATCGCGGCCCATTAATATCCGTTTCTTGGAGGCTACGATCGAGTAGCTCTCCAATTACGAAGACTCTGCAGCGGGATGCTCATAGGGATGCGTGGAACATCCAGGGAGATGTAGGTCCGGCTCGTCTCTAACTTCACCTCCTCCAGACTGATGTCATATCGCCGCATATCAGGCATTCGATGAACAGCGAGGAGATATATAGGTGCTACAACCATCTCCTCTGGTCTGCTGTTCCCAAATCAAGACAGAATCGCGACGAGGAGTGCCTGAAAGGTATTGTGCGTTAGGACGTCCAGCAAGACGAAGTTGCAAGTGAACGAAGGAGACATAATCTGTTCAACACCAGCAACCAACACCATGCCACCAGCTCGCCAAGAAACCACCCGCACTACAACCACCACAGATACCGATACTCAGCCTGAGAACATCCTAGAAGATGGAGACGTTCTCAGCGCCATTGAAAAGGCGCCCATCCGTCTCAGAGATCGATTGGAACACTTTACTTGGGTATGATAACCACTGTCCAAACCCAAAAGCAATTGCTGACCACTCCATAGGCCTGGTACTCTGTACCAATGACGACAACGAGTATCAGTCTAATGCTTTCATCCGAGGTTCAGCCTCACACATTTTTTGGGCTCGACGCCATCGCAATCACCATTTATATTTTCGGAATTGTCACATTTCTATTTGTCACTGGATGCATCACGTACCGATTCATTCGCTGGCGCCATACCTTCCGAGCCTCTATCATCCACCCCACGGAGGGCCTTCACGTGGCAGCCGTTTGGCTGTCTCTGTCCAACATCATACCTGGCATTGCTAGGTGGGGGATTCCCAACACGGGACCGTGGTTGCTTGTCACTTATAATGTCCTGTTCTGGATATACTTCGTCTGCACCTTCATCAGTGCCCTGTTTCATTACACACTCCTCTATACTCTTCCCGAACTGCGCCTTGAGGACATGTCACCATCTTGGGATATGCACATCTTTCCTTTCCTCATGTGCGGCAGTATCGCTGCCGCTGGCGCACCGCACCTTTCCCCTGAACAGGCAACACCAATGCTCGTCGGCGGCCTCACGGCTCAGGGTCTCGGCTTCCTCATCTCCCTCTTTATGAACGCGAACTACCATCGGCGTATGATACAGTGGGGCTTCCCGAGCCCCAAGACGAGACCATCTATGTTTATCGCTGTCGGCCCACCGGCATTCACGGCCCTCAGTGTGCTAGGCATGGCCGACGCCTTTCCAGAATCGTATATCAACTACTTCGGTACCGGGCCTTTCAACTCGGTAGAAGGCCAAGCAATCACGAACCAGGTCATGCAGGCCCTGGCCGTATGTACGGCCGTCTTTGTATGGTTCCTGTCGTTCTGGTTCATGTGCATCGCAGTGGTGGGCATGTTGCTCTCTTGGCATGAATCGACGTTCGGACTGGGTTGGTTCTCGTTCGTTTTCCCGATCACCGGGTTTGTCATTGCGACGTTGATGCTGGGAGATTCGTTCCACTCATCGGCCATTGAGTGGGTGGGGACTGTTTTGAGTGTCGTTCTTGTTATTGTCTACCTATTCGTCATGGCGCGGGTCGTCATTGGTCTCAAAAACAAGGAATTGATGTGGCCGGGCAAGGACGAAGATGTCTACCAGCATGAGAGGAAGGCTAAAATGATAATGAAGGACTTGGGGCGATGGCGGTCAAAGGACGTCGAAGAGCGGATGTAAAAACATGGGGGGGTTTCTTCTTAAAGATACAGTATATAGAAATTTCGCGAACTATACGCGCCCTGTCGAGCTGGTGACACCTCCATCGATAACAATCTTCTGCCCCGTGACATATTTTGACTCATCCGCCGCGAGAAACAGAGCAGCATTGGCCACGTCCCATGCGTCACCCATTTTCTTCATGGGTACCTGCCCTTCGCGCATACTCCTGAAGGCCTGATACCGTTGTTCTTCGGAACCATTCCCCGATTGGCTTTCGCTGCCTGATGCAGCAAACCTCTGCGCGAGGTTCTTCGTGTATGGTGTATCCATCAAGCCCGGGACAACCGTGTTCAGCCTCACGCCCTTGTCCGCATAGAGGACGGCTGTTGTTTTGACAAATTGCATGACAGCCGCTTTCGTCGTGCTGTAGGCTACCTGTGGTTTACCGATATACCTCAGGCCCGCAATGCTCGAAACGCAAACGACAGATCCGGCTTGCTGTTTTTCCATGACAGGCAGCACATGATGGCACGCCAGGTATACACTCTTGAGGTTCAGATCGACCTGTGCGTCCCAGACATCCTCGACCATCGTTGCCGGGCACCCGGGCTGTGACCCGCCGACATTCGCGACCAGGATATCAATGCGGCCATGTTTTGCGATGCAGGCGTCAACGAGTGCCTTGACAGACGCCGAATCTGTGGCGTCAGTGGCAACGATATCGCACATACCGCCTTCAGACTCAATCGTCGTCTTGGTCTTGGTGGTCGACGGCAGCGATCGGTTGCCACCGAAGATGACGGCCCCTTGGCGGGCGAAGAGCACGGCTGTCGCGGCGCCGATGCCCCAGCCTTCGTCTCCGGATTGGCCAAGGCCGATGATGAGTGCGATTTTACCGGTGAGGTCGAGCATAATGAATCTTCTTGGGGGTACGAAGTATAACTTCAGATCATGATGTTGCATCTGGGTACTGACGAGGGGCTTCGAACGCAACCACTTATGAAAACCATGATCTAGAAGCCTCGTAGGTCGTGAGATCGCCGTGCGGCTCATCCCGTACATAACGGAGAAAGCCCGCTCTCAGGTCTACCAGCCAGCTTCCCGGCGGCACACCTCCGTCCCCCCACGGGCTCTCCCGTATATCCGCATGACCTGTCTGAGCAATGCGACGGACTTCTGGAGGCTTGGGCCTTTCACCGATGGCTTCGATATTGAATGTGTGCAGAAACAGAACCGTAGGCCTCTTCCGTTCACTCACGGCTTGTTGCGGCCTTTTCCGCCAATGCGGCACCACACGCAGCGCCAATTCAGAGCGCTCGCAAGATCCACAGCGGCTTTTGCTCGCAGCACATGAACTGTGATCATCAGCCCGACAGCACAAAAAGACGTCAACCGCTTCACTCAGACAACCCAAACATCACTCTAGCTGCGCACAACCAGATACCAGACACCATGACCATCATTCACATTGGTACGTAAGATGATCGACTCGACTATCGTTGCGCGCATCCTCATACTAATCAGATCTCAGTCCTTTTCAAGTTCAGGCCGGAGGTCTCCAAGGAGCACAAAGAGGCCTTTATGCACGAGCTGAGACAGCTCCGTTTCCTGTCCTGCGTCAAGGACCAGAACCTCCACGTTGGCAGCCCGTCGCTTACAGATCCCATCGAGAAGAGCAAGGGTTTTGAAATTGCGCTTGTCAGCTATCACCTCGGCCCAGCTGCCTTGGCAGAGTACCAGGCGAGCAAGGAGCACGAGAGGTATGTTTCCCCGCAGCAGTGCTTCCAGCCACACCTATGTCATTGAGAATATGGATGTCTTCGATTCTGACAGAAACAGGGTCACGAGCACGTACCTCTGGCCGTACAAAGAGGATGTTGTGAGGTTTGATTTCGAAATTGGCAACACAACAGAGGAGGAGCGATTGGGGGAGATGATGGCCTACAACGCACTGAAAATAATTGGCTGCTAGAAGCCATGGATAGTCAACATATTTGAATTTGAGTTCCAATCTTGATCGAATTTTCATCCTGTATTATGAAGCGGTTGGATAAGTAGGAATGAAGTCGTCGAACAAGCTTCGCATCGCCGCATCCAGATCACCAGAATCGCCCAAAAGACTATCCTCCCCAAAAAGTCCTTCTGACGTAAACAGGTCCGAAAAGTTGCTCCCTAGGTCAACATACCCTTGCATGACACTCGTGTCTATAGCTGAGAATGATGTCGCACCGTCAGAGGAGTTGGGAGGTTCTAAAGAGGGCGCTGCGGTCAACGAAGGTGCTTCAACAGATACCCCAGCAAGACTGCCATTTGCCCGCCTCGGCTCGGCTCTTCCGTCGCCCTCTTTGTTTCTCAGCGACGCAGCCAATCCCCGGCCGAGCTCCTCGAGAATGTCGCGACATCGCTTCGCGCCAGCCCAGTGCTCACCAGTGGCGCTGAGAACGTTTAGGCCCTTGCTCAACTCGATGAGCAAGGCGTCCGGCTTTGCGGCCCATGTTTTCGCGAGCTCAGATTCTGCCTTGATGCAGTACAAAAAGGTGATGCTGCTGAGAACGATGGAGTAAAAAGATTGCCAACTGTGCAGAAGCTGATTGTTCCTGTACATCTGACTGTACAGACTGAGGCTCTCCAGTGCAGCATCGTGGCAGAGAGTAAGAGACTGTGGCGAGGGGTTTGGAATGGCGGGACTCGGTCGAAGCAATACCATTTTCAGATTCAGATAGCGGGAACGACAGATTTTTGACATGAACCCTGTCGATATGTCTTGATGAGCATCGTCTATGGCTGAGGTGTCTGTAGACCATTGGTCGAGCTGATGCAGCATGTTGGTATGCCACTCGTTGATGTCCACGACAGCGGGATAGGCGTAACGTGGAGCGTCGCGAACGACGCTATTTGCGACGTATTTGATTTCGGAGTTTAGTTTCGTTAGTTTGAAAAGATGAATCGAGAAAGACAATGCCGTAGTGGTGCTCGGCATGTTTCCAAAGCCCTGTCCTCCGGGGACGTCGAGGAGGCTGTCGTCAACATCATCTGGAAGCTGTCGACAGTCAGAATTTCCTGCTTTTGGTGTTGACTCCTCTACACCTGGAACGTCATACCCGAAGATCACAGGCCTCATCTCGCAGACCAATGGGTCTACCCATCATTGTCGCAATCTGCCTGTCTAGCATCATGACAACCCAGAACATGCGTGTTCTGAGATGTTGTTGCAGCTTGGTGATACCCGAGCTGGTTGTGATGTTGCGTTGCAGTCCGAGATCTAGCACGGCAGCGATGCATTGATAATTCAGATACCAGACATTGAGTCTCATGTTTGGGCAGTGTAGGGTGAAAATGAGCAGCAGCAGGAGGGACTGCAACCCCTGCAGAGAATTATCGATATTTAGGTTGTCAAAGTATTCAAGTGCTGATAGACAGTAGGATTCCGAAGGGAGCCTGACTTTATGTTGCTGTGAAACAATCGTAGCTCCAAGAGCCAACACCATGAAGATCTGGAATGACGAGTAGCTCCGGCTTATTGCTGGACTGTCATAGGCTCTCGCGAGGTCTGCCATAAAGGCAGGTCGATGCATGATGGGGTACTGAGGGTGCATCATATCGAAATAAGCATTCGACAGAATAGTCGCTTGTTCGATCGAAGGCAAGGGAAGAGGGCCTTGCAATGACTCGACCAACGCAAGGGGGAGTGCAGAGCCTCGCGACGGCGATAGTCTCCCGGAGTTCAAGGACGTTGCCCCTCGACGACCTGGTGCTAGCATGAGTCTGGCCAGGAAATGACCGCTAGAGGGGCCAATGTATCGAGGATCTTGCGAGCTGTTCAATGAGACCAGTCCAATCTCATGGGACAGCAGACCGGTTGAATGCGCATGTTGCTCCGCAAGTCCTCTCGCTGGTGGATTGGATGGTTGCGTAGCTGGCCCAGCAAGAACCCCAGGAGTCGGTGACAATGCGTCGACACGGATTGTACTGTCTTGACCATCAACATCGTCAAAATAATTTCCCAGTGCTCGGTCTTGGGATAGATCGACATCCGGGCATCGGTCCGTGATTACACTTTCCAACCAGGTAATACGGCTCTTTAGCTTTGAGATCTGACTAGATGGTCTGTTAAAAGGTGTTCCGAAATCCAGGTGCACGGCATCTTACTCTCGAGAATAGTCACTCATACGAGTGCTGTCTCCCATGACACATTCTACAGAAGCTCGCTGGCAGCTCCCACAGCTTGGCGACTGTCCATCGCACTGCAACATAGCCGGGTCAGCTCGGTATGAGTCCAAACCCCAGAAGCGGCACTTACCCGTATCTTACGGCGTTGACATCTTTCACAAGCAAGCCGAAGCCGAGTATTCCGTCGCGAGTCCTTGGCAGACCGCCGCGGGCTGTCCGTGCCGGCCATGATCCAAGACTGACACCTGATGCCAGGATGCCGATGGAGCTGGATGAAGACAAGGGAGACATGGCGGGGGATCTCCGAAAAATACAGATCAAGCGGGAAAACTCCGTCATGAGACATGAGTCAAAACGGCACGTGTCCGTCTCTCCTGGTCGCACTCCGCACAGTACGGCGTCTTTCCGAATCGTCACGATCTCTCTCACAGCACACACTCCTTTCGACAGCCCTCTTCCACGGCCATTCTTTTCCTACATATCCACCTTGCGCCTCAATCTACGGAGATAAAAGTGACAGTTCGATCTTCGCTCGTCAAATTTGTCTCACTTGCAAACAGCCCCCCCCGCGCGAGCCAAGCAATACCCGCACAGACAGGTCAAGCCCCCCCAGGTTCATCACATCAACACGGTCGACTGCCCGATTCGGCAACGAAGGTCCGTCACTGGCGGATCCGCACAAACTTCATGGCTTTCCAAGAAGAAGCCCCTGGATCCACCAAGATCTTTGTTGAAGCAAAAGAAGCCACTCGCTTCGTCGAAGCTATTCTGAGCGGAAACGGAGTGCCTGCCGAGAATGCCGCCAAAGTCGCCAAATACCTTGTCGCCGCGGACTTGCGAGGCGTCGATACCCATGGGTAAGCCCTTCCATTGACACATGGCGCCCCGAGGCCCCTTGAAGACAACGATCTCCCCTCGCTGACAGGATGACAGTATCAACCGCATCCCATCATACATGGAGCGCATCCGAAAAGGCGTCCTCAACCCAGCTGCGCAGCCCCAGCTCCGTCAAGTGACGCCTGTCGTGGCACACGTGGACGGCCAAAACGGCTTCGGTTTCGTCGCGGCCCACGCTGGCATGGCGGCGGCCATTGAGTCGGCTAGAGTCTATGGTATAGGCATGGCGAGCGTCGCGCACTCGAACCACTTTGGCATGAGCGCCTGGGTCGTCCAACAGGCTCTGGATGCCGACATGATGAGCCTCGTCTTCACCAACTCGAGCCCCGCGCTGCCCGTCTGGGGCGGCCGCAGCAAGCTCATGGGCGTCTCGCCCATCGCGTGCGGCGCCCCCGGCGGCGACAGACCCTTCATCCTCGACATGGCGCCTTCCGTGGCGGCCCGGGGCAAGATTTACAAGGCCAAACGCAGGGGCGAGAAGATTCCGCTTGATTGGGCGCTCGACGCCGAGGGCAGGCCGACGGATGACCCTGAAGCCGCTCTTGGCGGCGTCATGTTGCCGATGGGAGGACCCAAGGGATCGGCGCTGTCAATAATGATGGACGTCTTCTCGGGCGCCCTCTCAGGGTCTGCGTTTGCAGGCGGTGTCACGAACCCCTACGATCCGTCCAAGCCGGCTGATGTTGGGCACTTCCTTATGGCTATCAAGCCTGACCTGTTCATGAGCCTCGAGGACTTTCGCGCCCGCATGCAGCACCTTTACGATCGGGTCGTCGGCTCGGAAAAGGCGGCCGGCGTGGAGAGAATTTATTTCCCGGGCGAAATCGAGCAGCTGATGCAAGAGGAGCGAGAGAGGACAGGCATTCCCTTTGTGGGTGCCGAGATTGAAGCATTAAATGAGGAGGCTGCGCGAGTGAGTGCCGAGCTCATAGTCACCAAATCTTGATAGTAATCGGCATAATGGCATTTCGCTTTTGCCGGCTAGATCCTTTCCGCATTTTTCCCTGCCATGGTAATTTTTGATGTCTGATAAGGCCAGTTCGCTTCGCATGTACATCAATGAGCTTGCAATGGGCGAGCGCTTGGGGTTACATGGCGTCTGACGGTCAGATACACACATCCCCAGCCGTGGCCCGGAGGCTGTGAGCTAGACCAGATACTCTAAGCGGCCGTAATTGACAGTTGGTCATGAGTCGGGGGAGGGTAGCATTGGCGTTGTGCTCGGTTGTTCGCGAGAGCGGGCTTCATGCGAGAGGACGGCAAGTGAAGGGGTATCGTAGATCGCATGCAGATATGCCCAAGTGCCACAATTTCACTTGTTCAGGGCCTGGCGAATGTCATGTTTGTGATGAGCAGATCTTCGGAATAAGCAGCATGGCAAAATCCCGAAGCGAGGAAAGAAAAACTCCAGATGTATCCATGTTCATTATCGTTTGCTCGACTGACACTCTACGTGAAGTACATGCCACATGAGCCACACGACCCGATCCGGTAATGAAGTACAATATTGGCTTGGTATGTACAACCCTTCTCGCGCAAGGGCTTGGCTGACCCTCAACTCCCCCGAAAACCTGTCAAGATGCCGACACTGGCCTGTATGTGGGCTTCCAAGGGGCGAGGAACTCGCAGCATTGCCACGGTTGACGCAACAGCGCGACCCGCCCGCGTCCAGACTTTGCTCGTTGCCCGGCATTTGCAGAACACCACAAAGTCAATCGGCGCAAACACTCGTCAGATCGTGGGGCCCTCTTACGGCCGAGCTAGATCATCCCGTCTTGGGCTGGCCTGCACAAGCCACGTTGCGACCGAGTGAGCGATCTTTCACGCCATGAAGCGGATTACCTCCGCGCTCACATTTGACACTCTGTCAAATCAAGAGCTACAGACAAGTCAAGTAGAGGAACGAACTGCGAGGGCTCAAGGGGGGATCCTGAACTCAGACCCCGGTGCCTGGATTCGCGGCGTCGGAGCATAGTCCTGGTGGCCCAGGCCCCTCGAAAGCCACTCCACTGATGTTTTCTCAGTGTTCGGAACTGCTCCAGTCGTGGGGCCAAGTTCAGCTCAGCTTTGTCACATTATCCTGGCTGGTACCCGTATCACCAACCACCAACGCGTTCAACCAGCCAGAGAGGCCAGCGAGTCAGGTTAGCTCCCGGGGAGTGGATGCTGCCGCGGCAGGATTTGGAAGAAGTTGGTGTCCCCTCTTGTCGCCCCAACCACCAGTGATGGACTCATGTGTGGGTAAGTAGCTCTATATTCGACAAAGGACGCGAGCGACTAGAGCCGTACGGAGCTCCCGGCTGAGAGGAGGGTCGCCTCAGCTAGACAACATCGCTGTTCCAGCACCTACGAGCCGCAGGCAAACATGCCCCTCTCTCTCCGGCGGTTCATCAGCGGAGCATTGTCGATGCAAGGCTCCGTTCTTCTCTCCCGCGAACTCTGAGACCCCTGCATACGCATCGGATCCTGGGGTGCATCTACTAAGCGAGAATGAAACCTGTGTAATCTTCCCGAACAGGGGCTATTCCTTGATGCTGCTGTAGCCACTGGGCTTGCAGGGCCATAGGGCCACCAGCAACCCGACATACCTCGGGCATGACCAGTCCCTGCACATCCACGGACCTCTTGGAAGATCTGCGGGTACTTTTTGATTCTCTGATGTGACGTTTAGAAAAAGGAGGGGTTGCGGCTGGATCAGGGGGCCTGATGTGGGTGGAGGACTCAATTTCTCATCATCTGTCACACGTCTAGATCGATCACATTCTGAGTCTCCTCCACGGCAGTTACGAGTCGTCAGAGCCGGACACAGACGTACGATGCCCCTCAGTCGCCGTTTGACCAAGTGGACTTCCACGTGGAAGTTCTACGGGCGGTGTCCCAGCCTGTGGGCCGACGTTCCGACAGCCTGGTCGTTATTTTCAGCCCATCATCCGACCGCTGGGATGAGAAATGGAACGCGAAGAGTTGCGACGACTGACTCCCTTAGCGGCTCTTATCAAGCCAGGTATATCAGGACATGAGGATTCGAGTGTCAAAGCGGGCATATGGCGTGGGCCAAAAGGCAGGGTCTAAGGCTGTTAGATCGCCTAGTGTCAACGCTGAGAGGGCTAGGCACTCCTCTTCTTCCGGGTCTGTGCCTGGCGCTAGCCACGAGGGAATCATGTCCTACCATCTTCTTCCACCCCTTGTCGCTGTGAATGGCATCTTACTAGCCAGGGATCTGTCGAAGGCCTCCTCACTAGCCTTGGCCAACGAGAAGACGGGCGAGAGAGAGGCTCCGGACATGTGCACGAGGATGTCCTCGCGGGGAGCGCGCCGCTTGGCTCATCTAGCTCGTCATAGACCTTGCATTAGGTGTGACTATGATTCGTATTGTGGTAACCACTTCTGAGTAAGCTAGGTCCAGAGTCAGGTAACAGGCAAGCCCCCAGTCTGTGTGGCCAGCCCTCTGCTGGGCGAAACATTGATAAACAAAGAGATGGCTGCTCCTCTTCCGCGTGTATCTGGATGATCGACCGATCCCGACACTCCTTCTCTTTGCTTTTTCTCGGCTCTGGGAACCGTACCGTTCCATCGTCGTGTCTCTTCCCGCCTACGACATCCCCCAGCTGCACCCTTGATAGCGAGTCTTTCCGTCATGGCTACTATGGCGGCTGTTCACTCTGGGCCTTCCAAGCCCAAGGACTCAGTGCTTGACCTCTGCACGAGGTCTACCCTTCTCGGCAACAACATCTCTGTTCGCATGCTGGAGTTTCTCACCACTGTCAAGCATCAACCACATGGATTCCGCGAGCTTGCTGAGAGCTTCCTCGATGTTTGCCGTCACCTCTGGTCCATCGAGGCCGGCCTGGCCGAGGCCAGCCGAACCAACCAAGAGTTTCCCTCCGACATGATTCATGAGCTCGATTCCAAATTTCGCCAGACCAACCACGATTTCCAGGTCTTGGACCACATGATGTTCGAGTTTCTCGAATATGAAAAAAAGGGCGGTCTCGGCAAGATCCAGCGCAGCTGGCGCATGATGTTCGCCGACAAGGAGATCAGCAAGATGCGAGACTCGCTGCGCAAGATTCGTGATGCCCTGAGGATGAGCGCCCTTGTGTTCCAGTGGTCTCTGGGCAACGGCAAGACGGATGAGTCTGTTGGCGGTGGCTATGCCAGCCTCGCCGAGGCGCTGGATCGCATGAAGAACAAGCAGGGGGCTGGCACTGTCCGCATCTCCAAGGCCAAGTCGTTCGAAGCTCAGACCGCCAACCATTCGCTCAAAGCGCTTCCATCACCACAGCCACCTCTGCCTGCTCTACCGGCTCTGCCCTCTCTGTCACATGCACCTCATCTGCGCGCTCACTCTCCTTTCGAGAAGATGTCTGCGTCGGACTTCGTCCTGGCGGAGAACGGTAGGTCTTTGACACCGGAGGCTCGTCGACGTGCCTCGATCTCCAACAGGAGTCAGAAGAGCACCTCCGACCTCGGCGCCGCCGCCTATGGCATTGCACGCACCACGGATGCCAGAGGCATCGACAGGAGGCATGTTGCACAGGACGATCTCACAATCTCCGAGGTTGGTCAGTATGACCTGCCCAGCAGGCCCGCCTACTCCAGCAGACTCGGCCGTGATGATGCGACAATCTCTGATCATGGGCACTATGAAGCCCCTCCCAGCCGCATCTCGGAGCGCCGTCTGCAGATCGGACTCGGCCGCGAACAGCATGATAGCGGCATGGCCCTCACAGTGGGTTCGAACGAAGATCCCCTGTACGATCTCCGCAGCATCGAAACCGGCAACACTTCCCCAACAAAGATCATCCGTCTCAAGGCTGACCCGATGAACATGCCTCGGTGGACGCCCCGCCACAGTACTACTTCGACTACATCTCTCAAGTCGGCGTTGGCGGCTGCTGTCCATTCAAAGAACCACAAACTCGTGGAACAGCTACTTGACCGCGGTATCTCTCCCGAGACTGGTCCTGATATTCACATTCTCGTAGATGCAGTTCTCGCTCTTGATGCCGAGAGCGTGAGGTTACTGCTTCTTTTTGGAGCCGACCCCAACACTGCAGACAAGGAGGGCGTGACACCCCTTTTCGCTGCCGTTGAGGTATCGGCTATTGAGATTGCCAGGACGCTGCTTAAATATGGCGCTGACGCGAACTTGTCTGCCGGCCCCGGACTGGAGTCGCCGCTCGCAACCGCAGTCATCGACCACAAGTACGAATTTGTGCAGCTTCTTCTGACCTATGGCGGCGACCCCAACCACATCATGGCCAATGGTAATACGGTACTCATTATCTCCATGAGCAAGAATACCCCGAAGAGGCTCGTCGACCTCATGCTCGACTACGGCTCAGACCCCAACGAGAAGAACCGTGAGGGTAAGACTGCGCTCTTCGAAGCCATCTTCGCTGCCCGTCCCGATCTCGTCACCGCACTACTCGACCATGGCGCGAACCCCAACCTCCCCGGTCCGAAGCATATGCTTTGGCCGGCATCGTATCAACCAGATTGTCTCAAGCTGCTTCTCGCCCGTGGGGCCGATAGCAAGAAGGCCCCCGGAAGCATGGAGCTGGCGGTGAGCATTAACAACATCGAGTCGGTGCGCCTCCTGCTCGCCGCTGGTGTTGACCCCAATCTCAAGAAAGACGGCATTTACACACCTCTGTGCACTGCCATCCGCGACAACCGCCACGATATTCTTGCGCTTCTCCTCGCTAACAAGGCCGATCCCAACCTGATGGCGTCCGAGTACCCTGCTTTCAAGTGTGTCACGCACTTCCGCACTCACTTCCTGCCGCCGCTCGTAGCCGCTGGCGCCAGCCTGACCGAGCCCAGCGGCATCATAGAAACAGCCGTCCGCACGAATAACATGGAGGCGCTGCAGTGGCTTCTCGATCAGGGCGTTGACCCCAACGCGCGTTCAGAGGAGGGCCATACGCCGCTAACGACCGCCATTGCCGGGAACCGACCCGAGCTAGTGGACGAACTCATCGCCCACGGCGCCAACCCCAGCGTCCGCGGCCAGGACTGGCCCATCTGCATGGCGGTGCGTCACCCGGACATGCTCAAGAAGTTGCTGCCGTCCGTCTCGGACCCGCGCGCCTTCAAGGGTCTCGTCGAGCGTGCCGTTGTTGCCAACCAGCTCGAGAGCGTCAAGCTGCTGCTTGCCGCCGGCGTCAGCGTCGAGGACCGCAATGGTGGCGTCTTCTCGCCGCTGACGACGGCCATTCGCGAGGACAACAAGGAGATCACGCGTTATCTGCTCGAGGAGGGCGGCGCCGACATCAACGCACCTGGTCAGCACCTGCCTATCGTCAAGGCTGTGAGGCGGTGCCGTGGCGACGACACGGACATTATTGAGATGCTGCTCGCCAAGGGCGCCGATGTCAACAAGATCTACCGTGGCTGGAACGCCGTGATGCAAGCTGTCGAGAATGGTGACGCTAAGGTGCTGAGGCTCCTTGTCGAGCTCGGCGGTGGTGCCGACATGGACGCTCAGGATGAGGGCGGCCGTAACATTCTTGAGATCGCGGCAGGACGGGGCTGGGAGGAGCCAGCCCGCACCATCTTGGAGAAGTACCCAAGGGTTTGAAAAAGGTGATGACATGCTTTCTGTTGAACTGTTTGTTTTCTTTTGTTGCAAAGCGTGGATCGATGTGCCTGGGAAGATCGCGAATACCAATACCAGACAACGGGGTGGCATTTTGAAGGAATGAACCTTTGGGTTCAAGCCAGTACGTGTGTGACTTGGCAGTTGGAGTCTGAAAACAGGGATACCAAAGATGTATCTATTTTATTCCATCAGTTCATAGAGCTTGCTGTCCGTATTTAATAATGCTGGCAACTGATTTGCGGGCTTCACAAGCTGGTACATCGCTCTGTAGCGGAACGAAGAAGTCGCCCCATTCTATAAAGTAAGCTACCATCCATTGTGGTCCATTGATTCCGCTCTGCCAACTGAGTAAGTTTTACCATTTCATTCACTATCATCGTTGCCGCCTGGTTTCTCCCTGTTCCCCTTGCTCGGGTCGAAATAGGGTCTCAAGAGCTCGTAGGACCTCCCAAAGTGGTATGACTTGGCCCATTCCCATGGAGTCTCAACTTCCTTGCCACCAGGAACATATTCATTCATGAGGAGCTTCAGGCACGCTTCTTCGCCCTCCTCGGCAGCAACACAGATGGCGTTCCTGATATGCTCTTGTCTGAGAGCGGCCGATTTGCACTCGGCTTTCAAAAGGAGTGCCACGATGTCCTCGTTGCCGTGCTCAGCAGCGACAACAAGTGGGCGGTCGTCGACCCAGGCATCAAGGTAAGCATCCGCCCCGTGATCTAGAAGCGTTTTGATGAAATTGTAGCCATCGGTGCCGACTCTGTCAAATTTGCTTCGATTATGCAAGGCACAAAGAATGGTTTTGTCATCGTCCCTGGGAGATATATTACGAGCGAGAAGAATCTCGACCATCGCTACATTGTCGGCTTCTGCTGCTCTACCCATGATTGTGAGGCTGTCAACCTGATCCCTGGCGCTCGGGTCCCCGCCAGCATCAAGCAACAGCGTCAAGGCTTTCGTGTTTCCGTCCGCGGCTATGAGGAGGAGAGGTGTCATGCCGTTGTCATCTCGAGCATTGACATCTGCGCCTCTCTCCAAAAGTAGCGAAATGGCTTGTTCGTGTCCTCTTTCAGCCGCAGCCATCAAGGGCGTCCACTGCATGTTATCTCGGGGATTGACGTCGGCGCCTTTGTCCATCAGAAGTGTGGCAATCTCAATATTGTTGTTGCCGGCTGCATGAGATAGTGGCGTCCGTCCATCCTCGTCTGTAACATCGACATTGACACCGTGCTCGAGGGTTCTTTTGACAACACCTTCACAGCCATCGGCTGCAGCCAGCGGGAGGGCTGCTTCGTCTTTCAGATCGCCGTAGGGATCAACTATCTTGGCTCTCACACTTGCCAATGTGTCTGACAGAATCTGGGCGGCGTCTCGCGGATCGTGAAGCGCCTCGTGATCCGCCAATTTGCGAGCAACGCCCTCATGGTCGTTCTCCAGTGCGTGTGCCATTGGCGTCATCCCTTGGTCATCCGCAAGACTCGCCGTGGCGCCGTGGAGACACAGCAAGTCAACCATGCCATTATGACCGGCTTCTGCCGCAAGCGAAAGCGCAGTCTGCCCGCGTCTCCAGTCGCAAATATTCGGGTCTGCTCCGCCCTCGAGCAAGAGTTTCAACATGGTAATCTTGCCGTTGCGAGCGGCTACGATCAGCGGCGTGTCGCCGCTCATGTCAGGCGTGTCTGTGTCGGCGCCCGCCCCTAGCAAACGCCTCACGACCGACTCGTGGCCTCCTTTTGTCCCGGCGACAGCCACCAATAACGGCGTCTTCCCGCTGGCTGGTTCGGGCGTGTTGGAATTGGCGCCGTGCGAGAGCAGCAGCTGCACGGCGGCGTCATGGCTTCTGAGAACAGCCCAGTACAGGGGCGTCCGTTGATATTCGTGGTCGCTGACATTTACGTTCGTGCCCTTCTCGAGTTCTCGTTGCAGTTCGTCCGTGTTGCCGGATGCAGCGGCAATGATGATGGTGTCCTCCCAGGGACAAAGTTCTGCTTCCATGGTATGATGTGTTCACAGCAGGCCTAACTCAACATTTATCTGCGTGAAGATCGTAAATCATGGAATGGCCGGACGAAAACCGCGGGTTTAGATGAGTCCATCAGGCACAAACCGCTGTTATCCTGTGCTCACTATCATATCCAAGATGGGCAAGGGACACCCATCTTCGGACATTTCCTCGCTCTGTCGTCAAAGGGCTGTGTTCGCTAGTCAAGCGTCCGATGACCGGAAGTCGGCTGATGCCCCACCACGACGAAGATCCTCGGTGATCTAATCGGTAAAGCACCCAACGCTAGGATGCTCCCTACAACGCAATTCGCTCTTCTCTAATTACATTGTCGTTGAACTCTGATTCAGTTCGGGCGCGCTTCGGTGGGAGATGGATGACCTAGTCATGGTCAAGGTCCGTCGTGACCCCTGCGCCTGGTAGTGTGATTCGTGACTCTGCTGATACAAACTCAAATATCTACGTGTTGGTGCCTGGAACTTGAATGACAGACTTTCAACGGAGACGAAGCCCGCCATTTCGAACAGGCACCATTGTGAGAAGATCGTGACAGCCAGTTCTGTATTTGGTTACATAACGCTTGATCAGTGTATCGCTCGCTAGGCCAGATAGATTACGCGTTGCCTACGTTTTCTTTTTCGGACTGAGTAAAAGAATTTTCAAAGAGGCCTGGAGAAGCTTGTGCTACAACTAAATGCAGTGATACTAACACCAGCAAGGGCTATGTTTGATTCTCGCTAATCAAGGAAGCCTGGTACCTATGAGGGGGCATAGCGGTGAGCAAGACCTTGTCGATCATTTCTGTCATTCTTAAGCTCGCTCCAAAGATCCCTTTCCATTCGTGTTACCTCGATCGTCAAATGTGACTTCATGGTCGTTGGCTGCGGGAGCTGCAACGTTATACAGTATCGAGTCAGCAGCGCCAAGGTGTGATAACTTCTTAATAGGGCGATGTAACTTCGACGTCATCTTTGCTTCCGGTCATGTCAAATAGGGCAGTATACCCGTGTTCAACGTCCAAGAGGAGAGAATAGAGGGACTTTGGATAATTGCTTGCGATCTTCAAGCCTCTATCACTTGGAGAGTGCCTCGATTGAGTGGGAAAACCAAGGTGCGTGTTGGTAACGGCCAGAGAATCCAGGAGCGACTATGGAAGCTCGTGGTCTTCCCTACTGATGAACTGGAGGCCTCGGGAGCAGGTCATCAATACGAGACAAAGTCATTCAGGGCACCACTGGCCGCGAAATTGCGTGCGGCCTTTCATCCTGTGGCTAGGAAATAGAATGATTTATCAATGGAGCATTTTCATAACCTGCAGAATCAAGGTTCTGTCGTTCTGCCGATGACATGATCGTACCATGAGCACCGAGAGGGAACTTCACCTCAAAATAAAGAGGTGGTGACAATACTTCCCAAATCGACGTACATATCACACTGCATCTCCACGACAGTGACGACACGCAAGAGGCCAGGCTCCGATACACTTATTCACGCCTTGTATAGAATGAGAGTATATATACGTAAAGCCGAGGCGTAGCAGCCCGGCAGTCCCAAAGTCCTCCAAGCCAACAGCCCGCCCCCAGTGAGTTGGCAGGGCGCGGCATCATGAAAGCCAAACAACACCAGTCGATGGAACTAGGTATATACGACTGCCTCCAAGCATCTCCCCAAACACCATCGTCGTCTCACCAGCATCGCCGCATGCTCGGAAGCACGCCTTGGATCGATGACACGACAACGAACCGCAAAACTCGACCACGTCCGGACCACAAGCAGCAACACGTCAATTGCTCTATCGGATCTCTCCCTCCCAGCACTCCCGGCTCTGGTGCTTTCACTCGTGCTCCTATCGTTCATTCATATGCACATTGCATCTTTGACGTCTGCACCGCCTCCACCAATTCACTACACTCCGTAGTCTATGCCATCTGGCGTCACGTTGAAGGGGCGAACCTTCCAATCTCCCACTCACCTCAGTCCACAGAACGCGCAACAATCACCCGCAACAGAAAGTCTAAAAGAGACAAGCCCCATGATATAACATGAATCAAGCCCTCGTTTCCGTCACAGTGACAGTGACCGAAGCAGTGACGGGTGCCTTTGTGGTCCCCGTCACGGCAACAGCCTGCGCCTCGGACCTGAGGGTCTTCGGCGCCGCGTCCCGCTCCCCCGACACAGCGGCAGCAACGGGCTCGTCGTGGATGACAGACTCACTGTCGGTAGTGGCGTCGTCGTCGCCGCCAGCACTACCGTCCGTGAGCCTCCGTCCGAGCCCGCGCCGCCATCGCCCCTTCAACCAACGCCGTCAGGTGGGCCCCGCCGTGGCCGTCGGGCCCGCGCCGTTGACGGCCGTCTTGGGCGGCGGCGCCTTGGTTCTGGGCGCCGACGGCGCCGACGAGGCGGCCGGGGCCGAGGCGGGCACGGTACCGCTCGTGATGCCGTTGTTGAGCACGGGCGCCGATACGAGGCCCGTTCGCGGCGTGCGGTCGCCGCTGCCGCTGCGGCCCGAGCCGCCGGGGATGTAAAAGTCATAGCGGCTCGGGAACAGGATGATGTTGGCGAGGCGCAGAAGTTCGGCCTCGGCTTCGCTGTGGCTCGACGCCGAGCGCGTCGCGTCGTTCTCGTCCTCGTCTTGTTCGGCCGGCGCCGACGCTTTGGGGGGCTCGCCGCTGTCGACGTCCATCGCATCCGATGCGGGCACCGAACGCGGCGGTGCGCCGGCGGGCTCAATGTCCCAGGGCGCGAGACCCATGGCGCGCAGACCCTCTACACCACCGTAACGCTCGATGGTCGCGGCGTCGGGGCGTTGAATGTGAGAGGCCTCGCTGCCCAGGCCGCTGAGGGTGTCAAAGTCGGGACCCGGCTGACCCGTCTGGAAGGCTTTGCGCTGGCGCGCGAGGAAGAGGGCATTGGTCTGGGTCAGGGGGCAGACGGGCATGTAAGTTAGCAGCGAGAGCTCGTTCGACTCTGTCTGCATAGAAGGAGGCACGCCGAGACGGGTGCCTCCGCTGATGATGGAGTATGCCTCGTCGCAGTGCCAGATGACATAGTCACCTGGTTGCAGGGCAGGCAGGGAGACGAGACTGCGGCGCATGTGAAGATGGGGGTGCCAGCGCTCGGTGATACGTTGGGCGTGGCCGGGAACGGCGCCGTGAATGACGGTCGAGGGTTCTGGGTCGAGGGCCCAGTTGTCGGCATCGAGGTAGGCGGCCCACTGATCAGCTTTGCCGCCATCGGGCTGCTCAGGAGGAGGACGGCGTGGGGAGAAGAAGGGCCGCAGCAGGAAGTAGGCGGCGACAAGCTTAGGCGAAGGCAGCACGCGCACCATGCCCTGCTCAATGTCGGTCAGGGCGAGAATACCCTGGAACATGCGAAAGACGCTGCAGGCACCGGCACCGTTGTAGAGATCCGTGGTGGCGCCGACGCGACCGGCTGGATCCCAGGGGTCGTAGGACTCCCAGTCACCGCGGAAGACGGCTTCGTAGGTACCGCCGCGCCCGTAGCCATCAGGTTCCCAGCGCTCGAGGGAACCACTGTCGACCTGGGCGATGACGGTGGACGATGCACTCGCGGAGAGCGAGTCGGCGGCCGAGTTGCCGTTCTGCTGGCCCACGGCGCCGAGCTTGTCATTGTGAATGCGCAGACGATCGGCGTAGCTGACGGGGCATCGCGTGATGTGCAGGTCGTCCGTCGACTCCCAGAAGCTCATGGCGAAGCGCTGGGCACGCAGCATGTTGGGATGGGCTCTCGCTCGGACTTGGACGGGCGTCCAAAAGAGGTCGATACAGGTCGGATCGTGGAGAGCCGGCGGCTTGAACTCGCGGTTCGTGTCAAGATACTCGCGGGTTTCCTGCACCCACTCCTTGGCCTCGTCTTCGGGCACGACGCCGCGGATGACGGCGACGCCATAGCGCTTGAGGTGGTGGGCAAAGGCGTCGACGCGCACAGGGTCGTTGATGTCGTTGAAATTAATGGTCGGGATGAGCTCGGCGCCGCGGCGCTGAATCTCGTCAATCTCACGGGCGAGAGCCACGAGCAGGCGGCGCCAAGAAGCCTCGACGGCGGCTTCGTGGCCCGTGATGAGCCGCCGCTTGACGCCGGCGAAGCGCGACGGCAGCGGAATGGGCTCGTTGCCGTAGAAGGACACAACGGGCGGCTCCATGTTCCTGAAGGCGCGCCGATGTATGGCGGCGGCCGAGGTGGTGGGTGGTGATGTGGTGGGGGTTGCGTTGGCGTTTGTGTTGGCGGCAGTGGGTGTTCTCGTCGATCTCGTCGTCGGCGCCGAGGAGGAGGACGAGGTTCTCGACGTCGTCCTCGTCGACGGCCGTGTGACGGCGACGGGCGAGGGAAAGGTTGGGGACAGCGATGTGGCCCTGGATGCGCCTGCAGACGCGGGTGCAGAAGACAGTGGCGGGGTGGACGACGCCGTCTTCTTATTCATCTTGGACTTGCGGCTCGTCTTGCCGGTCCTCGTCCTCTTGCCCGGAGTCGACTTGGCCACTTTGGTCGTGGCGCCATCTCCAGCTCCAGGTACTGCCCCAGGGACTGCTCCGTGTCCAGGGACTTGTCCGGGGCCTTGCTCAGGGATCTGTCCCTGGCTCGTGCCGCCTTCGCCCTCGCCCGGCGGAGGGTCTGGGGGCGCTGCGGTTGGCCCAGCGGCCCATCGGGCCAAGATCATGGTGGCAGGCCTCTCGATTCGCCCTTTTCCTGTCTGTCTCTGTCTCTGTCTCGCTGATCTCCTCTTCTTTCTTTACTCCAAGTACTTCTGTACTAGCAGCAGCAGCAGCAACAGTCAGCCACGTGCCGCCTGTTTCATTAATCCTCCGCCAGCCTGTCCTGGCCTGTGGCTCTCGTGCTTCCGGGGGTCCAGGCTAGCCTGGGTCTAATCCTGGTCCTGGGGGGGGGGGCGATAGGTGTGGAGGGCACCACAGCGCCTAGTCCTGGAAGGGAACGGAAAACGGGGAATGCGCGACGGGATGAACGGGCGATGGATGGTTGGAGGGTGCCAGATGAGTGGGCTGAGAAATCGGAGAGGTCGCCTGTCCAATAGGGGAGTGTCGCGCGAAAAGAGGAAGAGTAGGTAGGGTATAACAGAGAAGAGTCGATGGGGTAGGATAGTCCGGGCAGTTCGTTTGATTCTCCGGCGATTTCTCCTATCGCTTTGTTTTTTTTTGTTGAATGTCGCTGTCGTGGACAAGCAAAGCTCAACAGGAGAAGATTGTTGTAGTTGTTGGTGTGGGATCGTAATTGTAGTGTTGGTGAGTGAGTGCCAAAGGTTCGGGCTTCATTCAGGCTGTAGGTGGTGATCGAAGACAACCCCGAATATCCGGATCGCCAGCGAAGCCGAGTGACCAACAACCTAAGAAATCTTCCCAATGAAAGGAGCGTTGACCGTTGTCCGTGTGGGGGCACCACAACTCTGCTGCCCTGCGCCGTCCTCTCTCTCTTTCTCTCTCTCTCTGTGTCCTTCGAGTGTCTAGCCGTATGCTGTGTGCTGTGTGCTGCGTCTGTGACCTGTGACTTCACCCTCTGACCAACCCAGTCGAAGCGAGGGAAGCGGGGGTCGGTGCTGTGCGTGTACCGGCCGGTCTGGGGTTCTCGACAACCACAACCTCCTCCGTGTCGTATCTTGTCGTGATGCTGCTGCTTCTCGAGTCGACCCAAGACGAAGATCCGGGTTCGTCGTCCAATATTCGTTCGCAGTCTGTCCGGTCGTGATCGAGTGTCGCAACGACCAAACCTTGATCAAGAACTTCCAGAAAGGGGGGCGGGAAGGGGGGCCAAAGCCTGGGGCACACTGAAGCCTTTATCAAGTATATTTTTACCCGCCTGAGCAGCCAAAACATGAAAGCCGTTTCCACAATTATTTTTTTCACTCTCTCTTTTCTGTTCGATCAATTCATCCTTTACCTGGCCGGCCCAGTCCTAGGGGCGTTCATCCTGGAACAGGCCAAAAAGAGATGCTATGGAGCAGAGACGCTCCAGCAAAAAGCGCACCGTTGAGCCGTCCAGGCCGCCTGGCCCGCTCGCCTACTGCAGCGCGAGTCGCTTGACACGGCGACCCAGGAACCCCCATCAGCATCACACAGCAGCTGGGGTCCCGCAGGGATAGATTTAGTCCGGGAGAGGCGACCGTCGGGGGAAGAGGGACCAGGGGGCCGACCCTCATGGTCCCTCAGCACTCGCGCCCACCACACCCCAGAGACGCGGGCGACAAACCCGTTGCTGCAAGCGCTTCCCGGCGGCCCGGAAACCCGTGGCTGGATAAAGTGCGGCGACCCCAATCCTCACGCAGACGGCTCTCTGAGTGGACGAGATGGTATGGATGGGGGCCAAGAGATGGGGGGGAACAAGGCAGAAAGGGGTTAGACCTCCCTCTGGCTTGTGCTGTCGGCCGCCTGCTCCGGCCAATGAGTTTGGTCTGGACAGCTGACCTTTGCCTTGCCTCTGTCTTTCTTCGTCGTGTGGAGGGCCGAGTCCTGTGGAGGCAGGTCACTCACCCAAGTCGAGAGACGGCTACAGGTACCTTTAATCTAACCAGCCCGGTATGGGTGGCGGAAGTATCGCTTCTCCAGGCCTCAGGGCCGCCAGCTCCGTCTTGTCTGTTTCGGCTTTTGGCGAAGCCCGCCCAGATGCTGTTCTCTGGTGCGAGCTGTGGTTTCCCATCCTTTCTCCTGCTCTCGGTTTTGTCGCAACACAAGAAAGACGCCAAAAGCCCGGGGCAGAAATGATCAGCGTTGCATCTGAGTTTGTCGCCATTCCCGTGCGAATCTCATACTGATGCCGATGATCACGCTTTGAGCAATGTCCATGGCGATTTGTCGATGTCGCTGATGATGCTCGATGCCCATCTTTCATCTTCCGAGCCGCACCCAGGCGCCAAACACACGTCCGCGTCTCAAGCGAACTTGAAGCAGCAGCACCAACAGAGACACCATTTCGGTTCAGCATACTGACGGCATGCCGCTCAACCCTGCCCATCGGCTCGCGGCCCTGGCGGCGAACTGCTGACTCTCGCCTCCCATGCTCGCTCTCTCTCACTCCCAATCTTGTCCTCGCTTCCCCCGAAGTACTAACCCCCTCCCCCAACCCACATTGTGCGTCCCAACATGGTAAAGGCCACAGCCGCCAGATGAGCAGATGCCCATTCGAGCCCCCGTCTCGCCATTCCCGATTCCCCCATCATCGAGCCCCCGTGGTCCCATTCCGTGGTCTAGCCTGTACCCTAGCCCGTTGTACCCTGGAATCGACGGACCGCACAGCAACTCAATCAGCGTGAACACGGACAGTACTTGACGATGGCATCACCGTCTGGGGACAAGCCCTTCCCTCCGTCGACGCCGCTTTCGCTCAAGCTCCAAATCGACCGTCCTAAGCCCTCAAGCCCCCCAAGCCCCCCTGAAGCCTCTCATCATGCCAATTGTCCTCCTGACGCTCTTCCCTCTTTCTCCTTTGAGATGCCTCATCTTACTGCCCAGCTTCCGAGGCGCGACCGTGACACTCGAGCTCGGCTTCTCCTCCCCGGCATCTGTCCCATCTGCACTCTCCCCAAAACAGTCAAGCTCTGAGCACGTTGTGTGGTGTCCTCCCTGCCATAGCCTACCCATTGCCCGCTGTCAAGCCCAGGCACCAGACCACAAACCCCCACCCCCAACTGGCTGTCGGACCCCCCCCCCTTTTCTCGTCGACCCGACATCAAGGGAAATCCTCCGAAAGTGGGCTCCAGCAAAGCGAACCTAGGCACATACATTGCAAAGTCGCTCTCTAGACGCAGATGCAAGAGTCCCTCCCCTCCCTTACGTCCCCCCTCCCCCCGGCTCTCTCAATGGCACCCCTGCCTTGTCGAATCACAGTCAGCGCTGGCGCATTCACCCATAGCACCACCCGCACGCATTTCCTCGTAGCCTCAAGCAAAAAGACCACTCGGCCCTCTCAACGTCGTGCTTTCGTCTCATCGTCTGCGGGGGACAGGCCCGGACTCTGGCGACCGAGCCTCCCAATTAGGCCATCACGGCGCCGCCCTTCATCACGAACCACCGCCGTCTACCTGGCTGGTGTCGAGACTGTGAGAAAGAAAGGATAAAACAGGGCGAGGCCATGCGAATCGGAGGGTCGCCGTCGCCAAAGCCACACCCAGCCGAGCACAGCTGATGAGTTTCCCATCTCGATCTCGGACTGCTTTCCCCACACGCTGGGGCCGGCGGACTGGTCTGTCGAACCGCTGATCACGTCCTCGTCAGTCGATGGCTTGGTTCTGCCCACTCACATGCCGGCCCTGTGCCTTCACGGCAAATCCATCTGGCACGGCAGATCTGGGGGAACTGGGTTGACCTGTGAAACCAAACATTTGACGTCGATCTTCTCGTATAGCAGCCATGAATGTTCTAGCAGAAAATGCAGATCGGCACCTGTGGTAGCAATCCATGCCATGCCATGCCATGCCATCCACAAGGCCGTCTGCCTGCTCCATGATCAGCAGGCTTCCAAGATAGACGAAGCACGCCCGCCGGACCTCGCTTGACCTTCCTGACCTGTCGATCTGGCCCCCAGAGTCCGAAAAACAACAACAGTCAAGCCACTCGCGCCGGGAACCGTCCAGCCATCCATGCCTCACTATCTGACCTTGTCCAGGACCCAACCGGACGATGGCTACCTGCCGAGCAGACTTGCGAGTCGGGGATCTGCCATCTTACCCACCCAGAGCCTGCCAGCATGTCCCGCTGCATAAGGCCCACGGCCTGGGACCTCTGCTGACAGAGGTCATCCGTGCAACGGGTTGATTGCACGTCAGAAGGGCCACCGTATCGAGGAGCGGCGTCCTCCGCAAAAGGCACTAACATCGAGGTGTTCCTCGGTCCCACCCCACAGGCTTTTGAGGGGGTGATATCTAATCTGCAGGGTTCTGGCGAGAGCTCCCCGCCAACGCGGAACGACAAAAGAGTGTCCTCCATCCACCACCCTGGCAATACCATGGTAGTCCCTGAGACCATGGGCGAGATGCACAATCTCAAGTGCCTCGAGATCCCATCTCGGATGGTCTCGTGGCGGCGTCGCAATGGTACAGCCACAACGCAGAAATGCTCAAGCCATGTCCGTCGTCGTATGGTCCGCATCTGCTTCCAAAATGGGACGCGAACATCTCCGCCTGTCACCCCCATTCTTCTTTCTCTGCCTCCCAAGCCTGACACCTCCGAGGTCCGACTTGGCCAGTACTCTCTCCCCCTCCTTCCCATCCCTGAACCCGTGGCACACGTGCCATCGGTTCGTCGATACCAAATCAGCAACCGCCTCGCAAGAAAGGCATCACCGACAAGCCCAGATACCAGTGACGAGAATGGTAAAAGTCGGTGAACCAAATTGCGCACAAAATTTCAGAGAGGGGGCGTCCCTCAAGAGCTTCCCTGCCCCAGTCCGGACCCCTCTCCGCACTGCCTAATCCATCGCCCAAAGCTCTTCACTTCCGTGCCACGTCCCGAGACTGCTCTGTCGTTATCGCGCCACAGGCAAGGAAGGTTGGTCGTCGCTGATAAAGACTGGCAAAGACGCCCCCTCCGCGCCCAGAACATCATGAGTGGGCTTAGCTGATGTCACGAAAGAGGGCGCGTGCGGCCCAGTCTCGTCCTGCACGTGCAGCCTATAGTTTGTGCCATGGGCTCGCCTCGCTCGCTTTCGGCGGCACGGGACAGTCCAAGAAGGCTGCCTCACGTGTGTGACGTGCCAAACAAGCCCATAATTGTTGCTACCTAACAATATCGGGGCGGCTTGTGGTTCCTCTGTTGGTAGGCAAGACCGAGATGGTTGTGACATTGTGCTCGACGAGTCACAGCGCTCGTGGTCCGTCGTCTTCTTGAGAGGCGGGGAGAAGTGGCTTTGTGTCGGGCCCCTCGTCGCCAGCCACTCATCTCACACCATGAACGCTCTGTACCCTGACGGACCAAAGGTCACAGGACGTAGACAACGGCGCAGCGGGGCCGGTCCCCCGCCTCTCATCGGCCTGCGCCCAGACTCTTGGTGGCGGACCACCGCTCACGGAGTGGCCTTGTGTGTCACGGCTTTGAGATGCCAACTGTTCGGGAGCGCTGCACCGCCCGTGTTCGTTTGTTTCGGACGCCCTTTTCATCTGATACCGCAGTCGGGTCCTGAGAGGCGTAGGTATGATTATCTGTCGTGGAAAGCAGCCCGATTGATGTCCATTCGCCACCGCCGAGATTCCGGAGCATGGCTTCGTACGCGTCGGCCCGCACAAGCGACGCACCTTCCACAAGCTGACTGATGATGGATGCGTGAGACGCCACTGTGTCCTGGCTGTTATCGGCGTCTCCGACGAAGGCCACAAAGTTGCGTTTTCCGCGACAGCTGCCTTCAATGACTTCGATCCCTTCTTCGGTCAACTGCCCGTCTGCCCAGATTGCGGATTTGCAGACTTCTTCAACGGTTTCGGTGATGTGCTGTGGCGAATGCGCTGGTGGTGGCGATGTGTTCACCACCGCCGGTTGAGCGTGTCTGATGGCTGACGGCCCCGAAACGGGAGAGTTTTCCTCAACCTCAAACTCGGCTCGATGCGTCCGCTGGTGATCCTTGGCCCATGCCCTCATGACAGCATCATGTGCGAATAGAGTGCCAGAACAACAATCACCAAAGAGCCCTCTGATGGTGACATTATTCTTGTTCCAGGTCATTGGATCGACGGTGCAGGGCCAAACATCTCTGGGCTTAAATGTCGTTACCAGATGACGCAGCTCTGGCAAAGGCGAGTGACGGGAGTAGGGGAACCGAATCATTTTGGGCAGTCCGTTTTCTGCACCATTCAACATGGCATCTCCTTCATCCGGGCGATGCGCGCGCTTCTCTCCGATCAAGGCCATCACCTCCACGACATCTGCTTCTTTCTTGTCCCCGAAACAGCTCATGTCAAGGTCCAAGGGAACGTTGCGTCCGCTGAGTGGCTTTTTCAATAGTATATCCCGAACTGCTGTCTTGGTCGGTTCGGAAACAATCCGATTGTCGCCCAGCATTTGGAGAAGATGATTCAAATCCGTAGGCGACACAAGGTCAAGCTCAACTTCGCGCTCGAGGTCGTCTGCTCCGCCTCCGATGCCGTGTTCGAGACGGTCAATGCCGCCAGTCGTATGGGCAATGATGGGCTGGATCCATACGACTGGTCCCTTTTCGATAACTGGACAATAATTCCCCTTTTCGCAGCTGTGTAGACGTACGTTCTCATCAGTCGCGAGACATCCAGGTCGATAGGCGTTGCCACACATGTAGCCCGTCAAAGCTGGCGACTCGCGGCACAGATGAAGAGACTGGCCAAAGCGGTCATTCTCCGGCTTCGCCTGCAGGGAGCTGAAGATCTTCATCTTGTAGTCGTCGACGTGCACGCGTGATTTCAGCGCCTTGGATAGCGCGATCCATACTTCCTCATAACCATACGTCCAGGCCTGAAAATGAAAGATGGTATCAGGTGGATACCGTGAGACTTTCCCTAGAAGCTCCGCTATGCCCTCAGCCTTGGTTTGGAAGGGGACGTCGTCGATGAAAGAAGTGTCCAGGTAGATTTTGTCGAGCGTCTTGCTGCCGTGGGTGTACTCGATCAAAGCAGGATTTCGAGCGACCGAGTTTACGTGCCATGGCTCACTTCGAATGTCGCCGGTGTAAAGAACAGCCCTCCCATCGCCCTCTATCAAAAACATGACGGCTCCGGGACAGTGGTTTGCGTCGATGAGCGTCACCTGAATTAAATGGCTGGGAGCAAGTTCAATCTCTGTGGGTGTGTCCAGGGGAATAGGCTTCAACAGGCCTTTCAACCCCTTGAAGGTCTGTACTCGAGCTTCCAAAATACCCTTGGCAAAGTTGATGCGGCAGGGATATCGTTCCAGACGGAGTAGAATCTCTCTCGTGGCGGCCGAGCAATAGACAAAGGGAGAGCGCAGGCTCTCGAGCCCCGCCAGGTGATCGCTGTGGACATGGCTCAAAAAGCATGCGAGCGGCGGAGGCTGGTCGATAGAGCGACGGAAGAAATCCACTGGTGGTAGTCAGCGTTAATCCACGCAGTTGATAGAGGTGACAAAAACTCGGTGGTTTGGACGAACCTCGAATGTCTGGGAACTCTCTGACGATTCCGTTAAAAGTCGACATGCTCAGAAGGGAGCTTTATAAAACCAAGAGTCTCTCAAGCTTCACCTGTGGGAGCCATATGCGAGATAGACTCGGAAAGGGGAAGAATGCGCGTAGATGAAGAGGTGATTGAAGTTGTCTAGTTGGACAGCGAGTCGAAGTGGCCACTGCCGGACAAAGCAGGGTGTCCCGAGCATCAAGTAGAAGCCTGGAAGTCGAGACAGATCCCCTGGACCGTAATCTTAGCAGGTAGGAATGCAGAAGTTGCGCTCGTATGCATCGTGTTCGAGGGTTGTTCGAGGCTGATGTGAATCTGGATTGGGATTGAAGTCGATGGGATGAGGTTGTGACAAAAGACACGATGCGTACTGTGCATTTACAGTGCGCATGCTGCTGCCTACAGGTGACTTACAGTACTCCAGATGAGCGTGGCGAATGAAAGTCAAGCACTCCACATAGACTCATGACGAATTTTTTAAAAAAGAAAAAAAAAATTGAAAAAAAAAAATTGCAAGAGATACTGGTATTTGCTGTTGCATTCAACTTTCATGGTGAAGTTTTCGACCGCGATAGAGGGTGGAATGGCCACATCATGTATTATTGTCCTCCTCCCATGCTGTGTCTGATGAAAGAGGAAAACACAGTGCCCCGGCTAAATGCCGGTGGTGTTGGCTGTCAGCTCTCACAGCGGGCCAGAACAGATCGTGATGTCCTCCAGGCAGGAAAGCTCCGCCATCATGCCCGTCCTAAATCATGTTGAGCAATGCATCACTATCGCCTCAAAACAGACAGCTCTCCTTCTCTCCATACACAACCAACTCCTAGCTCATGCATGACGTTTATGCACCGTGTTCTTCGGCTTTCCTGGGTCCGCACACAAACGCTCATTGGGGAAGCCAGTTGTCAGCAAACCTTATTTTCCCTATATCGCACGGTCTTGCAAAGTCATTGGGATGCCGGGAACTTTCTGTTCCAATATCATGACGGGACGTTCAACATCTCTTCTCTGTCTTGCTGCTGCAACATGGCGAAGAGACATCGATGCGAACCACCAGTATGGGACGTGGCTTACCATTGAACCAAACATGTCAGGTCAGCGGATCGCCCTGGCTGCCAGATAGTATCTGCCGACTCGTCATCCGAGCGCAGGAACCTTTTGGTCCTCCAGATATATGGTATATTGCCTCCGCCTCTGCCCATGCGACCACGCGCTATCACTCCAGCTTACGCGGTTCGCGTCGTCTGCGAGTCAGCAAACCAGCACAATCCCGAAGAGGAGAACCGGCGGGATACGATGACCGTTTGCTTAGCTCAGTTCCCCGTTCTGCTGATTCATAGTGAGCAAGAATCTCTTAGAGTTCATTTGATCTATATTACCCTGCAGCTCACCCGAGCGCTTGGACATTTCGCGCTACTCAGCCTGTTGTGGTTCACCAATCCCCCGCATTCTGTCAGAGACAGATGCCGGCGTGAAGCCCAGGTTCTCGTTCACTTTGCTCTCAAATGGTCCCAGCTGACATTCTAGACACACCGCATTGGCCGAATAGAAAACTGGACATGCCCCAATTTGGGAAACCCGGATCAAGCGACCGTCACCCTAGGGCTTTTCCCACGGCGGCACCAACCTGAGCTTCCGCTTCATGTGGGGTGTCGCAAGGACCGCATCGCACATTCCGTACTCCCACATCCGGCAACTGTTGGGCGGTTGGTGGATCGCTGATGGCACAGCCCGACTCAAGAGTGATCTCCGTTGGTCAAGGCTGCGCAAGATTGCTGTGCAAGGCCACGAGGCAGGCCCGATAACAACTTCACTGCTCATCGGGATCGTCAAGATCCTAGCCCCCACAAACTTCATCTCTTCTCTCAGACGCTCAAAAGTAGCCTCTCTTTCAGCGTACCTACATCATTGCAACACCGTTGTTCGTTCCAAATGCCGCCATCCCGCATCGCCTACCCCTCTCAACCAGCCAACTGATCTTTCGCAATTAATCGACGCAGTGTTGTCTACCGTGCCGCTCCTCGTCCCACCCAGGCAATATGGACCTGTCACATTGGAACCGGAGCCGATCCCCGCTATGCCCCTTTCGGCACGGAAGAGAACATCATGGCCCTGCCAATGCCTCCAAGCCCAGGAGGCGAACGTGGTTCGTGTGTATGCCATTGACTACCATGTCCCATGGTTTATTGCTCTTCCTTGGTCAGATCGACCAATCGACCAAGGAAGCAGCCAAAGAGCCAAGATGCCCGCCGCGCAGAGTTCCCGAGGATGAAACTCCTCGTAGTCGCCTTAAAACCATCCAGACATCCCGTTCCAGGCCGTCGGTGCTCTTTGCTCATCGGTTGCAACGCTTTCTCTCGCCTTCTTCGACACCAAGATGAGGTTCTTCAGCCGTGTTGGCGCCGGTGCGGCCCTCCTGGCCGCCGTCTCCTGTAGGTCCCGACACGACCCCTGCCAGCCACGACCGGAGCTAACTCGCACACAGTCCTCGAGGGAGTCGCAGGCCAGACCGACTGGACGAGTCCGGATACCGGCATCGTCTACCAGTCGTACACGGGCTCTACTGGCATGACGTACGGTATTGCTCTGCCTACCAACTCACTGACTGTGGACGCCACCGAGTACCTCGGCTACATTGTAAGTGTATCGACTTGGCATCGCCGGCCCAGCATTTCTGACGTGCGCAAAGAACTGCCCGACGCCCGCCGGCGAGGACCAGGGATGGTGCGGTCTCTCACTCATGCCCAGCATGACCAACAGTCTGCTGTTCATGGCACACCCGTACGAGGGCGAGGTCCTGACTTCGTTCCACTTTGCCACTTCGCGCGAGTCGGTCGAGAACTACAAGGGACAAGCCACAATCGTGAGTTCGATTCCCCCTTCCAAATTGCGAATCGCAGACGCCAAGTTTATCACGTATTGACCAGCGTCCTAGACGCAAATCACATCACGCGTCACCGCGACTGGCTTCAGCCTCGAATACCGCTGCCAGAACTGCTTCAACTGGGAGCAGGACGGCTTCGTCGGCGGTCATGCCACGACCCAGGGCTTCATCGTCACCTCGTGGGCCCTCTCCAACAAGGCACCCGGCAACGCCGTCTGCCCTTCGGCCCTCGTCATTGAGCAGCACGCGAGCCAGGGCATCAACGGCGGCGCCATCACGCCCGGGTTCACCAACGCCAACTATGCCACCTGGGCGCAGCTCGCCAACAAGGTTGTCACCGGAAACTGTGGCGGCGGCACACCCACCTCTACCGGCGGCGCTGGCCCGACTACAACGTCGGTGCCCGAGACGCCCGTCACGGGTGTTCCAGTCCCCAACACGGCCTACGACTACATCATTGTAGGCTCTGGCGCTGGTGGTATCCCTCTTGCCGACAAGCTCAGCGAGGCCGGCCACAAGGTACTGCTGATTGAGAAGGGTCCTCCCTCTTCGGGGCGCTGGGGTGGCAAGCGTGGCCCGACCTGGCTCGCGAACACGAATCTGACCCGATTCGATGTGCCGGGTCTCTGCAACGAGATCTGGCACGACTCGGCCGGCATTGCTTGCCGTGATACTGACCAGATGGCCGGCTGTGTCCTCGGTGGTGGCACTGCCATCAACGCTGCCTTGTGGTGGAAGGTCAGTGCTTGCCGATACTGAAAAAAACGCTCGAGAGAGTTTCACTAACGGATACACATAGCCCTATGCTGCTGACTGGGACTACAACTTCCCCGCCGGATGGAAGGCTAGCGATGTCGCCGCCGCCCAGCAGCGCGTCTTTAATCGCATCCCCGGAACCACAAGGCCATCGCGGGACGGCGTCATCTCCCTCCGTGCCGGCATGGACGTGCTCCGTAACGGTCTCGCCGCTGCTGGCTGGAGGGACACGGACTTCAACGCCAACCCGAACGCGAAGAACCGCACCTTTGGATACACGCCCTACATGTACTCAAACGGCGAGCGCGGCGGTCCCATGGCCACGTACCTCGTCACCGCCAATGCGCGCTCAAACTTCAAGCTCATCATGAACACCCAGGTGAGGCGCGTCATCCGCTCGGGCGGTCACGTTACGGGCGTCGAAGTCGAGCCATACCTGGATGGCGGCTTCCAAGGTGTCATTCCCCTGACTGCCGTGACCGGTCGTGTCATCCTGTCCGCGGGCACATTTGGCAGCGCCAAGATTCTGCTGCGCAGCGGAATTGGCCCAACTGACCAGCTCGATGTTGTCTCCAACTCGACGCGTGATGGATCGACGATGATCTCTCGCAACCAGTGGATCAACCTGCCTGTCGGCTACAACCTCGAGGACCACACCAACGTGAGTATCGACTATTAAAACACTGCACATTTTGGCACTGACAAGTATATCAGACCAATGTTGTGCTCGAGCACCCCTCCGTCCAGTTCTATGATTTCTACACCGCCTATGACGGCACGGCCCCGTACCAGGCCGATATCCAGAAGTACCTGACCCAGCGCAGTGGCATTCTCGCCCAGTCCGCCCCCAACATCGGACCTCTGTGAGTGCTGCCTGCCATCCTTCTTTTTCTCATCCCATACTAACACGAAGCAGCTTCTTTGAGGAGATTCGTGGCGCCGACAACGTCGTTCGTCAGCTCCAGTGGACCGCCCGCATGGAAGCCAGTGAGGGCGAGGTAGATGGCAGTAAGTCCAGCCATCGCATCTGCAGTTACCGCCGACTAACCAACTAGGTGCCCTGACCATCTCCCAATACCTCGGCCGCGGCGCCAAGTCTCGCGGCCGCATGACCATCACCCCAGCCCTCAACACGGTCGTCTCGACGATCCCGTACCTCATCGACACGAACGACAAGGAGGCCGTGATCAAGGGTATCGAGAACCTGCAGCGCGCGCTCGCCAACGTGCCGAACCTCAAGTGGCTCCACCCGGCCCCGGGCACGACGGCGCGCCAGTACGTCACGAACATGGTCGTGTCGCCGAGCAACCGGCGCGCGAACCACTGGATCGGCACCAACAAGCTCGGCAACCAGGACGGCCGTATCAACAACGGCGACTCGGTCGTCGACACGAACACGCGTGTCTACGGCACCGACAACCTCTTCGTCGTCGACGCCTCCATTTTCCCCGGCATGGTGACCGCCAACCCGTCCGCCTACTTTGTCGTCGCCGCCGAGCACGCCGCCGCCAAGATCCTCGCGCTCCCCGCCGGCAAGGGCCAGCCTATCTACCAGCAGTGCGGCGGCCTCGAGTGGAGGGGCAGCTTCCAGTGCGCTGCCGGCCTCAAGTGCGTGGACCTGAACCCATACTACAGCCAGGTAAGTTTTTCCGACAATAGATGCTCGACACTCTGAATACTAACCTCAATATGCAGTGCCTCAGCAGCTGAAGCGGGTGATATTGGTTTACGGAGAAGATAGGGGGAGAGAGGGTGTAGGCCTGGGGCCGAATTCGATTCACTGTCCATATTGACTTGCCTGACTGTTCATATCAAGGTTTGGCACCATGCATCATGCCGTACATATCATTTCAACCTGTTCTTTTTTTCGTGCGTCTTCCGTCACCTGCTTCTGCTCTGTCGTGGTGAGTGGGGGTGAACTGTGAGACAAGGCCTTCGCTATTGATGTTCTTGTGTTGCATATCGAACCGTGGCTTCAATTTCTGTCATGAGTGATCTTTGCCGGCCGCGTGTTGTTCAATGTGAGACCCTAGAAAGTCAGTCCTCGTGGTATTGTCAGCGGGAACATCCCACAAGTTACCGTGGGTACAGCCTTGCTCGTGGATGGGATGATCCTTTTGTAGTAGGATGACTACCAGTTCCTCGTTTCAATCCCCATCTCATCACGCTCGTCTAGACACGAAGAAGCCCCGCCTAGCGCCATAGCCCGAAAGAGAACCCGAGACAATGGCAAGGTTTCTTCCAAGGTTGAAATACCGAGGTCAAATGGCTTGACATGAAACGACCACCCCAAAAGCGCGTCCAGGTGTGAGTATCACAACCATGACACGGATATAGACGCTCGGAGATTTCGTGTCCTTGGGCATACCGTGGTCTTTGTGTCATTAAAAGCTACTCGAGGCGATGAGGCTGCGACAATTCCGATTCGAAAGCCACGGCCGCTTGAGTTGATGGACTTCTCACCAGTGCAAAAAAATTCCAAGTCTGCTGCTACTGCGTTGGGTGTAGCAAGGGGATGTGTGCGCTGCATTACGTCCTGCTCTGTTGTACATTATTGGGGTCAAGTATGATGTTCAAGATCACCACGATGTCGTAGTACTGAATCGCCCGATTCACTATGGTCTCGAAAAAGTCTCTCAGTATGGAAAGCTTCATAGTGACTGCCCCGGCTTGCTGGTGTGGAAAAAAGCACTCCAGCAAGATGATTTCGAAAGATCCAGTCGAGGACCTCTCGCATCTCGTGAATAGCTTCGATTGGCCACGATGCCTGCCCCTCGCCAGGTCAAGGATACCTACATGCCGCTGGGGCTTTGTGGGGCAGCAAAGTAAGGTTGGCGAGCGACGAGTGCGTGGCATTGGGGTCGCTCGTGCCACCACCGGGCCCTGACAGCTCAGCGGGCTAGATCAAGGGTCCCTTTGGCGTCCCGCAGTGTCCCGCAGTGGGGGCTGCGGGTGCGAGAAACGGCTCGGTCAGCGCAGAGGCGCAAAGAGTGATGCCCGTCACTGTTGAAGGAGGTAAATAGTTGAGTGACGGAGCTGCCACATTTTGTAGGCGCCAGCATCGCATCCGAGGGTGGTGCTCACGGATGAGCGATGGTCGGCGGGATGGCAGGCACGGTCGGCAGCATTCGGAAGAGGGGAGACAACTAACGATCTTGAGAAGTTGACGTGTCATGGTGTGATGGGGAAAAATTGACGGAAGATTGCTGACCATGATAAATAACGGTCAGAGGGGCACATCAACAGTGATCACAGAGAAAGGGAGAGGCAAGAAGTGTGTTTCGTGAAGAACGAGACAAAAAGTACGGGACGATTAGGCGTTGAGAAGAGATCCTAGTGCAAGAGGAGACGACGGAGAAGAAGAAGAATCGTAAGCAACAAATGGAGAATGACGAAAACAGGGGAACGAGGCGCCCAAGGGGCCCAAGGGAAAGGGTGGAGAGATGAGGGAAAGAATGACACAGAGAAGAAGAGGAAGAAAGAGCATCCACCAAAGCCAGAAAGGGCCTGGAACACGGAGCGCGGGACACGGGCAGGAACCATCCTGTCCCAGTCCATCCTGGTGGCTTTCTGCGCGCTCGTGTCATTTGGGTCGAGTCTGTCGGGCTACGCTTGCCTCTTCCCAGGTGGTCCTTTGAGGTCGCAAGAGCAACTGGTGCAACATTCTGTCAGGCAGGCGCAGCTGGTCCGCCCCTCCCACGTATTCTGCGACGGCCTCCCCCCTCGACCACCCCCCCTTCCCATCATAACAAGACCACCTTCCCACCTTCACCGCTCACCATTCCTACCACTTCACCCACCGAGAAGCTCATTCCTGTCGTCGCATACTACACGTAGCTTCGAAAGTCCAGTCGTAAGTACACCGACCCTCGCCAAACAGAGACGCGAAGCTCCATCGCAAACCGAGCGACCATATCGAGGCGCCATGCGCGCGCGGGTGTTGTCGCATCCTAATCTCGCGCCCAACGCGCTGCCTTCTTGCCCTCCTCTCTCTTCTCCCAACACGTCGCGTTATACGTCGCATCACGATCGCACTCTCTGACCTCTTCCGCAGGAGATCTCGCGACTTTTTATCTCGAATACTATCCCTCCAATCTGCAGAAATGGCTCGTGAAGGCACCCGCTCGCAAACCGGCCACTCCAAGCCGCGCATCTTCGAGACAGTAGACACTGCGCCCGTCACCCAGCGCAAGAAGACTACCACCAAACCAGCTGTCAAGAAGGCTCCTGCCGCGCCTGCTGTCAAGGGAGCCAAGCCCACCGGTGTCACAAAGAAGAAGACAGCCCCTAAGAAGGACGGCCCTGTTGCCAAGGTACGTCCGTTTATGTTGACGGTTCTGGCTCCGTGCCCTTCGAACAAGTAGAAATGCCCTTGGATGGAACGCAGCGCGTGATGCCTCAGTCGTAGACTTGGATACGTGCTGGTCATTTCTCATGGCTTCACGGCTCCTCCTCTGTGACCTCGATGCCCGGGCGCGTCATATATGTGTCTTCACGTTGCATCCTGCGACCATTCTGCGGCACCCCGTTCCTCCCACTCCTGCCGCTACCCCTGCCTCTCCCCGCAGTTGCATTCCTTGAAGTGGCAGCACCGGGAATACACCAAGCTGGCATCAGGACTGATCTCTTTTCTTAGGCTAAGACTGCTGTGAACAAGGTCGAGAAGAAGGTTGAGGAGGTTGTGAAGCCAAAGAAGGTGCGAAACCACTCTCCGCACCCATTTCGTTGGACCGATATGCCTCGTCATGTGGTCTATGACTCTTCAGAATGCGCTGACTGACATGAAAGCAGGCCACCACTACCAAGACGGCCAAGCCCAAGACTGTCGCCAAGTGATTCCGGAGCACCCAAGCCTATGCGTCTGTCCCCAAGGGCGTACCATAGCTATATGTACAAAGCCTGTGCTGGCGTGGAAAGCCTTTGGCTGTAATGTTTTTTTTTTCGCCTAACCCTCCCCTTTCGATCTTCTCACGACCACGCGTCTGTTTCTTTGGCAGGATACCTCGACCCCGATTGATGTTACGGGCTGTTTGTTTGTTGTTTCTAGTGCTTTGCGGCGCCAGGGTTAGCTGCTGAATGTTCATACACCATCTGTTCCAGCTGCAATGGCTCGTGTCATGACTTGCATCTGTGATGTCATTGATGTACATCTCTGAGCCTGGTTCATCCATTTGATAGCTACAGCTAAGCTCTAGAGAAACACTGAGTGTTGCTGGCGCTCCATCACATCTGGATAACGCTTGCCAGAGGGAACTTTGGAGATCTGGCTCTACAGATGAGAAATCCCTCCCGAGGTATCGCACGGCCGCCGGAAGAGGACAATTGCATTTCGCTGACTAGTCAATTTTTCTTGACTTACTGGGCGAGCCACGAATTCCCTGCCTGCTAGAACTGTCGGAAAGCCGTTTCGAGCCGAATCCGGAACACCAGTCTACGACAGCCCGCCACACCCACATACGTATTAGTTGGCGTCATTGTTTTCATGGTGTTCCTTGGAGATCGTGATAGTGGCGAATCTTTCCTTTGACAAGTTTTTCGGGACTGGTAACATAATCGCGATCGAGCGTGTAGCCCTTCTTCTCCAACGATGCCCCATCGAGTAGGAGCGCAACTTTTCCAATGAAAGCTTACATACGTTAGTCAACGCTTCTGCGCTGCTCCGAAGTCTATACACGTACCATACGAGTCCGAATTCAAAGCTCCCTTGTCCTCGTCTTGGAAGAGGACGGACTCCCAGCCACCAGTTTCGGCCTCTGAGGTATCAGAGTCGTCCTCGTCAGGAGTGTGGTCCTCATGGAGGTATTGCCAAGTATGCGTTAGCTGTCAAATGTCAGTTTTCTTTACCCTCTGGTACTAGCTGGAGCAATGATAACCCACTTCATGGAGGATAATGCAGGACAACACCTCGAAGTGGTCAATCCTGGCCCCCTTCTTGACCTTTCCCAGCTTGCGCATCTCCTTTATAGTCGCCGGCAGGCGAATGTCCGAGTTCCCATAGCTCCTGCCCCTCTCGAACGCGGCATCATAAATCGTGATGAGAGAGACGTCGCCATTGTCGACAGGGTCGGTGTACGAGATGCGGTCGTGCGTCTCGAACGCCATCAGCTGACCCTGCATACCGGGCGAGTTGCAGTTGATCTCGGACAACATATTATTGTCAAAGCTCCCGTAGCCCTCACCCTCCGGGTCCGCCGTCCAGTGGGCGCCGTTGTCACAGAAGAATCGCACATCGGCCTCGAGCTTGACTCTCGTCTCCGTCCAGTCGTTTCCGATGCTCGCCATTGTGTCTGCCGTCGTTAGTTCCGTCTTGGCCGTCGCGGACTCCATGGGATGTAGAGTCTTGTACCCACTGAATACCACGTTGTAGACCGTGTCCTTGCCATCACCGCCGTACTTTTCCCTCCACTGCCAGCTGCGCTCGATGCCTCGCGATCGTGCCTTGTCGTCATTGAAGATGTAGGCGTAGCTTCGCGCAAAGTCCCTGTCCCAGGCGTTGGTGGACGCGATACCCATGCGGTCCATGCGCTCGGAAACGCGTCTTCCCATGTGGAAGACTTCTTCGAAGACGCCGCCATCGCGGAGGCTCAGGGTTTTGCCGGGACCGGCTGGGTAGGCGAGGCAGGTGCGGTCTAGCCAGTAGGTGAAGGCGTGGGTGGTGGTCGAGATGAATAGCAGGAGGAACAAGAAGTTAAAGAGGTATTTGAAGCGCATCATGGTGCTAGCCTCGCTGATGCCGCGTGTGAGATTGCTTTGTGCTGCAACAACTGGTTCCAAGGCGTTGTATATCAGAGCTGTTTGTGGGCGTTTCAATGTTTAATAAGTATCAAGGGGTTCTTTCTATTTTTCCTGTAGCCGGGACACATGTCCTGCAGCAGGTGAATTAGATTTACTGTAAATCATTACGACCTGGCCTACGTATGTCCCAATTCCGTTCCCAATATTCACGGATTTCAGTGCGAACCAGTGAATAAAGCTGTGCACAGACAGACATGCACAGCAGGAAAGAATTCTTCAGCACTATCATATAACCTATTAACAGTAATGAGTTCTCGACACGTCACAAATGTCAAATCTACTCAATCGTGCACAGGCTAGACATCGAAACGCCGATAAAGCTGGAGTAAGTCTTGAAATCCGAGAGGTATTTTTTTCTAGCTAATGGCACGTCATCACGACAAATTTATGTTAAGCGCTCCCCCCGTGCTCACCTCCTGCTGCCGCTTTATACCCCCCTAGGCGGGTATTAGGATAGGTAATTAGGGCGAGCCTCGGATGATCGAGGTGACTTACGGGTGACTATAGTGACTCTAGGGTGACTTACTAGAAATGAGCGTAGTCCTACTATAGTTCCGTCTAAGTATTCGATTTCGGTTATATTATAGTATTACTAGCTTTAGTTTACTATCGAGCGCTAAGCCGATTATTACGATACTCTATATATCTCTAGACCTAGCCCTTAGTATTATTACCTATATTAACTTATTAAAAAAGTCTTCTTAGCTATAAAGACTTCTTCTATCTTCTTATAACACTCTAAGAAATAGATAAAACTCTAGAAATTATTACTCGAGCTCGCCTTAATAGCTATATACTTAACTAATATTCTAAGAAAAAGGCTAAAAAGGGTTAAAGGAAGTATATACCTATAATTATAAAGCACTAGGATAAAGCCCTTAATCTTTATATACTATACGCTTTACTAAGTAATATCTAATCTACTATTATACTATAAGTATCCTTTATATTACGGGTATAGTAGATAGGTAATAAGTAAAGCCTATTACGTAACTATAAGGTTAGTAATTACGGGATCGTAATCCTCTCGATAATTATAGAACTATAATTACCTGATATAGTCGTAGTTACGGGGACCTGTGATCTTAGATCTTAAATACTTAGTTTATAGTATTATATTAAGATGCCCTCCCCTAGTAGGAGGGGCTCTAGAGGTTCTCTATATATTATAACTCCTAGTTATATAACTAGGAATCGTATAGGCTAGTAATTACTATTCTATAATTACTATATAGTATTCGCTTAATAGTAATTACGGTTCCGTAATTACTAAGAGGATTACGATCCTATAATTACTAACTTTACGGTTATATAATAAGCTCTATTTATTACCTATCTATTATACCTATAATAAATACCCTACTATAGAAGCTATTACGTCCTCGTAAGCTCTAGCGTACTTATAGTAATTCCCTAGGAATTACTATATAATTAATATTATAGTAACTAGTTTATAGGACTTAGTAGTAAAAAACTCGGATAAAGGAAGTATCGGCTAAGACGGGGGAAAAGGGTATATAAAGAGATAAATAAAGATATAGAAGGAAATAGGAATAGGGTATTAGCTTAATTAGTTAGGGGAAATAGGGTATAATAGGGATAATATATAAATAATCGTTATATAAGGGGATCGGGTTAAGGTAATTATTTATAAGATTCTTAAGCGTATTAATTATATTATTTATTTATATATAATATCCTAGAAAATTACTATAATTATTTTCCTACTTTTTATCCTTATTTTTAAATTATTCTCTATAATTACTATTAATAATTAAAGTAATAATAATAAAGTTATATTAAATATAAATAGATTATATATTTATTATTATAAATATTATTATTTAAATAAATTTATTTTATTAAATAATATTAATAGCTTAATAGCTCTTATTATTAAGTAATCCTTAATTATTAGGTTTATTACTATTTAAGTAGATTATATCCTTAATAATTATAATATTACTATTAACCTCTTATTTAATAATATAGATATATATAAAGATTAATTTAATATTATAGGATTTAAGGTATTAGATAGTATTAATTAAGCGAAATAAATATTCCTTTAACGAAGCTTTAACCCTATCCTCTAAATATAAGTAGATTTTAGCTATTATAATAGTTATTTATTTATTAGAAATATTAATAATATTAATAGTAATCTATAAATAGTTAATAAGTATTAGGATATAGTAAATAATAGTTATCGAAAGACTTAATATAATATTAATATTTACGATCTTATTAATAATAAACTTAATTATAAGCTTAATAATTATAATTAAAGTAATAAATATTCTATTACTTTAATTAATAATAATAAAGCTATAATTATCGAATATCTATATTTTCTTATTATAGATAGGGCGAGTATTAATATTAACTATAGTACTTAGTATAGAAGTTCTAATAATAGCGTTAAACTTATTAATAATAATAATAATTAAGTTCTTAATATTATTATTAATAGAGGTAGTAATATAGTAGCGTTTCCTAGGGGTATTAGAGGTATTATTAAAAGTAATAAAGAGGTAGCGAATAATATATTCGCGATTAATATCGAGGGGGTTAGCCCTCGAGGTACTATATTTAATAGCGCTCTCTATTACCTCTATTTACTAATTAATAATTTTAAGCGGTTCGGATATAGGGGTTATTATAGTCTTAATAGTAGTTAAAGCTAACTTAAGGCTACCTTTAATCTAGCTAATATTAATAGTAAATTCTTTAATAGTTATTTACTTAATATTAACGTTATAATAGCTTATAAAAATAATATATAATACGATAATTAGCTTCTTAATATTAATAGTAAAGTCTTTATAATTAATATTATAAGTAATTATAAATATTAAAGTAATTATAATAATATAATCGCTATTACTATAAATATAATAGCTTCCTATAATATTAGCTACTCTTAGGGTCGGCTAGCTAAAGGTATTAATTATTACGTATTTAAATATATTATACTTAGGGATCTTAAGTATAAAACTAGCGATTACGAAATTATTATATTTAATAGTTCTAATAAACTTTTAATTATAGGGGTTCTAGAATTAAGCTATTTATAAATAAACGTTCTCGATATTAAAGATAAAGAGTAAGTTAGATATAAAGTCTTTAAAAATATAAATAATAAATTATAGCTTTTATTTAATAATAATTAAATAAATTAATCTCTTTATAATATTATTTAGCTAAAGGAAAATAATATAAATTTCTTTAACGTTCTCCTTTATAATTAATTAATTAATATTAATATTAATATATATTACTTTATTAAGAATATCGTTAATTAAGCTAAGGAAACTATATTTAATAGCTTTCTTTTTATATTACTTTAAAGTAACTTTATTCTTATAGTTCTATAAATTAAGGAATCCTTAAAATATAATATAAATAATCTTAATTATATTTTTACTATTAAAGAATTCTAATAAATAGAGATATCTAATAAAGGTAAAGTATTTATATTTCTAGATACTTATATTATAAAAGTCTAAACGGAATATCTTATTTTAAGAAAGTATAATTAAAGTTAAGTATAATATAATATAGAAAGTATTTATAAGGATAATAAAATATATTTATTTATTTAATATTATAAGTAATTATAATAATATTATAATTATTAATATTTAAATATTTATTAATTAAAGTAATTATAATATTAAAAATAATAATAAAAGAAAATAATTTTAAAGATAAAAGGTTATATTAAATATACTTAGAAAGGTTTAAAGTATTAATTATAATTTAAATTATATATATATATATTAATCTTATATCGTTACTTAATCGGGTTAAATTACGTTTAATCTAGATCTTATTTACTATAAACGTTATTATTTTTAAGTAATAATACTATTAGAGCTATTTACTATTATAATACTTTAATATCCTAATTTCTTTAATCGATAAGCTTATATTAAATCTTTAAATTCTCTTAATTCTAATAACTATCTTTATACCTCTTTACTTTTATTATTAGCTTTATTAAGCTTAATAGCTTTATCTCTTATTACTTTAAAGGCTATTATTAGATTATTAGCTAGTATTATATCTTCTAGTATCTAGATATTATATTAGCTTAGTTAACCCTTCTATTTAATTAGGAACTCTATTCTAAGTTATCCTCTATTTCGCTTAATCTACTTTTTATTAAATACCTTCTCGACTTTAAAGTATTTATATAGTTTAGCTTATTATATTATATCTTCCTTTTAGATTAATAATAATCCTTAATATATAGATTATCGGGGCTAGTCGCTTTCCCTTAAGGCTATCGTTAGCGAGAAATAAGTTATAGAGATTATAGAGTAGATATTTATTATTAATAAGAGCTTAAGCTTATATATTAAAGCTTTTATCCTCTTTATTATATAGAATAGCCCGAATCTTTATTAATTAAGTTTAAAGGATAGCTTCTTTAATAGATTATATTTATAATTAAACTTAATATTTTTAAAATCCCTAAATATAAAGGTTATCTAATAATACTTAGCATTATATTACCTTTTTATAATTATTTATATTAATATAATTACTAATTAAGCTTCTTCTTAGAAGACCTTCTTATTTATTTCCTAATTAATATCTCTAAGTATAATATACTTCCTAGGTGAGTAGACTACCCGGGTAAGTAGACTACCCTATAGCGACTCGATATATTAATATATTTAAGATACGATAACTCTACTTACTAGTATAGAATCGCTTTCTATTAAAGAGTATATTCGTAATACGATCTAGGCTTTTAAATAAACCCTAAATTAAAGTATTAGGTTAATTACGAAGACCTTTAATATTCTACGAACGATACTTAATCGACGATTTAATAGGACTTACGCCCGATATAATATAATATTTAATTCTCGACGATTAAATAATTTAGAAGAATCCGAGATTTTTTA